GACATGGAGGGGAGGGGGAGCTCTGGGGGACATGGAGGGGAGGGGGAGCTCTGGGGGATATGGAGGGGAGGGGGAGCTCTGGGGGACATGGAGGGGAGGGGGAGCTCCGGGGGATATGGAGGGGAGGGGGGCGGGTGCAGAGCTGTGTCCCTTCCCGGGGGTCTCGCAGCCCTGTTGCTGGAGGAGCACCAAAGCACCCCCAGAGGGGATGCAGCCTTGGGAGCCACCAGCCATCCTGGCTGGCCTTGCCAGCACAGACCAAGGTTCCCCCACCCCAATTTGGAGGTCTCCTCCTCTTGCTCTGCCCTTTGTCCCCTAGGGCCCAGGCTCTTGCTGTCTAGGAGAGCTGCGGTCCAGGTATGATCTGGGAATTATGGAAGTTCAGGAGCCCACTCCAAAGGCAATGCTCTCCACAGTGCTTTAATGATTCATCACTGTCAGATGGAAGCAAGTGATAGAAAACATGGAGAAGGTGCCTGAGATCTGCCATGATGTCATAGCAAGTCAAAAGCAGACAATACTCAAAATAAAACCACATTTTTTAGTAGCACTGATAAGAAGAAAATATCTTGAGATTCCTAAGTGTAGCAATTGTTTCTGAGAGCATCCCCAGGTATTTGGAAAAGGCACTTGTAGGTCCAGTCCCAAAGGCCATTTTAATGTTGGTGATAGCTACAGGCAATTAGCCAGTTATATTAATTGATGGAGGAAAACGGGGAAGTTATTTTGCTCCATGTTAGGCAAACGAGAATTGCTTAAAGAGAGGCTCTTTCCTGCCTTTGCCCATGATAAGCACTCCCTGTTGGATCCTTTGGTGTTTCCATATTCCTCCTGTCGAGGTGACTAAAGCCAAGCTATCCCTGTTGCTCCCTCTCTGAGTGACTTAGACTTGCAGCAAGTAATAATCTCTCCTACCTATTTTAAACATTTTCCAATGTTTTGTCACTCATTAAGTCACCCACATATATCTCATTTTGCCTTATCTTACATGCTGTGCATGCTTCTTCCCACTTCCTTTTACCTTTCCTCGCCTGTCTTCTGTTTTCTTCTCCCAGGTGTTAATAGGGTAACTTTTTCCTTTTTTTGTGCTCTGATAAGTCTGCTGTAGAGCATTTTGGGAACAGATCAAATCATATCTCTAACATCTGTGTCTAACGGGAGCTGCCCTCTGTGGTGAAAGTTTTCCAAGACCAGCTCCCATGAGACAACTTGGGATTGGGCTCCCAGGAGAGGTCATACAAAGTGTAGGCTTTAGGTGTTTGGCTTCTCAGTGGAGCCTGTGGCATTTAGAAAAGCTTTGCCCATCATACAGGGTCATCAGTCACCAGAACTGAAGCAAAACTTGTGTTTAAGCCTCAGTTCCTTCAAGATTTGGCACTTTTCTATAAACCAGAATCAGATGCCAACTGTAAAACAATGTAAGGCACTTAAATTTTCTGGTTTTTTCCGGCCCAAGGGAAGTCCCTCCTCCAGCAGAGTAAGTGGAGGAGAGGATGGTGTGGGCAGCACACTGAGCTGGCTGGGAGGAAGGAAAATCTGGGGAACAAGGGATGTGAATCCATTGTATCTCCCACCAAGGGTGTGAACCCCTGGACTGCAGAAGGTGTGAGGACAGAGCTTGCTTGGGTTCCTCAGCATCCTGTAACGAAGGAACAGCCACCCCTCTGCCTCTCCAGTTGGGGCTTGAGCTGTTTTGAGTTTCCTCCTGTTTATTCCAGTAAGGTCTTGCCCTGAGTGTTTTCTCTGGAGCTGATGGTGTAGGATAATCTTCTGGTGGATCCAAGTCCTGCATCCTCCTTAATAGCAGGTGGTTTTGTGAAACTCTCTCACTGTGACATGCTAATGTGACATGCATCCAGGAAAGGTTCCAAGAGGTAGCTCTTACTCTTCATTAGGTCAGGCCTTTTGCAGAGCCATGGATATGTCCATGCTTCAGACACACCTCAGCTCTTTCCCAGACTGTTCATGGTCGAGATCTCTGTCACTCAAATTCTGGATTTCCCCTAGGAACTGTGGCAGCATGGATGCATTCAGCTCCCCTCCCAGGTCTGTTAAATCACCAGCAAGTGGTGTAGGAAATCCTGGGGTTTGTGACTTCTCCCTTTCTGTGCAATGAGGATAATTTAACCTCATGGATATTTCCAGCTGAACATGTGCCTCTGTTCTCTCTGTTATATAGGGACAGCATTGCATGACTGAAATGTTGAAACCTGAGCCATTTATTTCTATGCAGGAGAATCACAGAATCATGGAATGGTTTGGGTTGGAAGAGGCCTTAAAGATTACCTTGTTTCAACCCCCTGCCATGGGCAGGGACATCTTCCACTAGCCCAGGTTGCTCCAAACCCTGTCCAACCTGGCCTTGGACACTTCCAGGGATGGGGCAGCCACAGCTTCTCTGGGCAACCTGTGCCAGGGCCTCCCCACCCTCACAGGGAAGAATTCCTTCCCAACCTCCCATCCATCCCTGCCCTCTGGCAGTGGGAAGCCATTCCCTGTGTCCTGTCCCTCCATCCCTTGTCCCCAGTCCCTCTCCAGCTCTCCTGGAGCCCCTTTAGGCCCTGCAAGGGGCTCTCAGGTTTCCCTGGAGCCTTCTCTTCTCCAGGTGAACCCCCCCAGCTGTCCCAGCCTGGCTCCAGAGCAGAGGGGCTCCAGCCCTGGCAGCATATCCGTGGCCTCCTCTGGACTCTTCCAGCAGCTCCACGTCCTCCCTGTGCTGTTCCCCAGGGCTGGAGGCAGCTCTGCAGGTGGAGTCTTACCTGAGTGGAACAGAGGGGGAGAATCCCCTCCCCCATCCTCCTGCTCACCCTAGAAGAATGATATTGCCATTGTATTTTGATGGAATGTGATGATTCCTATTTTTCCATGTGGCTTGCAAAGGAATTCTGCTGCTCAGTGCACCTGGTGAGGGTGTGTCACCTTGCCTGTGCACACACAGAGGTGTTTATTTGAGCTGGGCTCTGCTCATCTCCTGGAGTCCTCCTGCTCTCTGCTTCCTCTCCTGATTTCCAGAGTGCCTTTGGCATCGACATGTTTGCTGGGCTCCATTTCTTCTCTCTGCTGAGGTTTGGACAGATGTTGGTGAGGCAGGAGGGGCCGTGTCCTCCTGGTTGGAACTATTCTGGCAACGTCCTTGTTTATGTTCTCAGTCTGTCAAAGATAGAGCCCCAGCATTCAGATCCTTTCATGAATAAATGGGATCTGGGTGGGATTGACAGCTCCAGCTCTGTGTTAGTGTCCAGGGAGTCTCTGGGAGGCATTCGAGCTGGCACCTTGATGAGCTTTAGTGGCCTGTGTTACTCCTCCAAGTCTCCCTTTAGCCTCAGTTGAGAGGAGCGCACAGCTGTTGGACTGAGCTCAGCCATATCTCAGGCAGTGGCTCATCAGGAAAAGTCGTTTGGACACTGGCTGGTTCCTCATGGTCTTTCCTGGTCTCCAGACACACAGAGAGCAGGCTGCTCCCATGACTTCCCTGCATTTTCTTGAGTGGAAGCTTTGCAGGCAGAGGTGGTAAGACCTGGGGCTGTGCGGATTGCCCGCTTCTGTCACCGGGCTCATCAAGACGGATTCAGGGCCCACTTGCTCTTGGGTTCCAGTAAAAGTGTTAGAGATAAGAAGCCAGGAGAAAGGCAGATATTCCACTTTTTTGCATTGACTGTTATGTTTTTCAGGCTATGGAGCAACGAATCCGAGAGGAACAGCGAATGATGGATGAGAAGATAGTCCTAGAGCTGGACCAAAAAGTGATCGACCAGCAGAGCACCCTGGAGAAGGCTGGGGTGTCTGGATTCTACATCACCACCAATCCCCAGGTTGGTGTTTGGGCAGGGCGGGTGAGGTATTTTGACAAGGGCCTGGAGGGACAGGACACAGGGAATGGCTTCCCACTGCCAGAGAGCAGCGTTAGATGGGATATTGGGAAGGAATTGTTCCCTGTGAGGGTGCTGAGGCCCTGGCACAGGTTGCCCAGAGAAGCTGAGGCTGCCCCATCCCTGGAAGTGTCCAAGTCCAGGTTGGATGGAGCTTGGAGCAACCTCGGATAGTGGAAGGTGTCCCTGCCCATGGCAGGGGGATGGAACGAGATGAGTTTTAAGGTCCCTTAAAACCTAAACCATTTCATGATTCTGTTTGACAGTAATCTTGGGTTAATATCTTTAATTTAAAATAAAAGCTACTGTTAATGAACTGTTGATCCCTGGGTCAGAAAGATCTGTCCCTTGCCTCTCAGCTGGTGGGTGATGTGCTCTGGGCAGACCTCTTATCCAGTTTGTAAAAAAGGAGCAGAAACCCAGATACCACTGGGCAGCATTCCCAATTTCCTGCAATATTTTTCCCAGTATGGAGAGAAGAAACACTGTGCCAAGCCTGCAGTCCTGTGACTCTCAAACAGGTCTGAATAACACGAAAATAAGTGATTTACTGTTTCTGTATCCAGCTTAGCTGTACAAACTGGCTTCAGGAGTCTGTTTATTAGGCACCTTGTTCCCTCTTGCATGTGATTTTCTGGATCTGATAAACTCAGACTGTGATTAGAGAATTGTTCCCAGTTTGCTCAGTGCATTTGCTCTCAAAATGTTTGAGCCATCACCTCCGTTTGTCCCTGTTGTCTTTATGCCACCACAGGAATGAAAAACTTCCCAAGTCCTGTTGTAAAGCCACACAAGTTTGCAGGGAACACAGAGACAGGCTGTTCTTAACTCTGTTTTTTCAGCTGATTAAATGTCAGTTTGATAAAGACCTACTGGTGAGAAAAGATGGCTTAAACGGAGCGAAACAAGCATTTTTTCTAACACCCACCCACACGATTCCCAATTGTGGAGCCTTGAATAAGCCTCTCATTTTCCCTGTGCTGCTATTCCCCAGCTGTATAATGCAGGCAGTCCTTTCTCGCACTCCTGCCCTGCCTTTTATGTTGTTTTTGTAAGTAATAACCCGTAGCAGGGTTCCTGTTTGCTGGGTTTGTGTATGTTTGCCTTTAGGATAGCTGCCAAATCCGACCCGGATCTTGGTTTGTGCCTGTAAATGCCACCAAGAAATCCCTGCTGGAATCTGTTCTCCACATGGTTCCCATCAGCTGATGTGTTTCCTCCCAGTCTGTGTAAAATGCCTGCTTATACAGTGGATGTATTTTTACAAAAATTGATATTTAATTCCATAGCATCACGTCTACAGGGCTGAGTCACAGCCCTGGGCTCGCAAATTAGCAGCTCCACTGTGTTGTCTCTGAGATAAACATAACTAAGAAGGAGCCAATGATAAAGAAACCATAAGCTGCTGGTGGTGACTACAGGAGACGGTGTCTCCACTTGATTGCAGTCATGGGAAAGGGAGCTTTTGATGGGGAACGAAATGCCTGCAGACAATATGATGCACCAGCACAGCCATGTGTTGCTCCTGGCTTGGACCCCACTTTAGAGGGCACCCAAAGTGATTTCTCCTCTTCTTACCCTTCTGTGCTGGGAAAGGGTCAAGGAGTTGGAGATGCTGCTGAAGGAGGAGGGGAGGAACTTGGAGAACATCCTGTGGGGTGTGTGGCTGTGCAGGTGCAAGGGGATGCTACTGCCCCTGCTCAGCCTGCGGAACTGGCCAGCCCTCATGGCCCTTACACATTTATCACCGTCAAGAAGAAAGAGCTTTTCTGAATCCTTAAGGAATCCAAAAGCCCCAGGATTCCTAAAACAACCACAGTTTGCAGCAGGTCTGCTAAGATGTTACTGCTCTATATTTTAGAGAAACACTTAAACACAATGAAGCCTTTGGTTTCTATTTGCCTGGTTGGGTTTTTTTGTTCCTTTAAAAGGTGTAGCTCTTGAGGGGCTGATATAAGCCAGTCCTTTCTGCTTTCTGTAGGAGGGAATGGGATCATCTTGTAGATATGTCTCTTTCCCTTTGCAGGAGCTGACTCTACAGATGAATTTGCTGGAGCTGATTCGGAAGTTGCAGCAGAAGGAAGCTGAGGCCGAGAAAGCTTTTTCCTGAAGGAGCAAATCTGCTATTCACTTTCCATAGTTCTTCCTCTGACTTCCCTTTAAAGGACAAATTGTCCATGCAAATGCTTTGTATCATGCCAGGAAGAGATTCTGGATATAGAGGAACTCACTGGGGCACTTGGATTAGAGCTGGGGTGAGCAGAGCCCAGCACAGGGGGGTTGGGAGCCTTAGGCTGCCTCTCTGGTCATCAGAACAAGGTGTCGGTTGCATCTGGCTCAGTCGGGAGCTGATGGTGCATGTTCACCTGCCACAAACATTCTGCAGTGTTGCTGAGGCTGTTACTGAGCCAAGGTGCTGCACCACTCGAGGCAGCAAACCCAGACCCACTGTGTGATGGTGGCCCTGTGTTTAGATGCATAAAACTTGGGGGAAAAACAATTCCAAGGTTTATCTACCGGAAGATGCTTCTGTGTGGTTGAAGCAGAAACAGCCTCTTAGACAGGCAGACCCTTTACAGAGCCTCCTCCAGGCAGGTACCGGTATCATCTGTATTAAAGAAGGATTTCAGGCCTCACCCAGTGTTACTGGACTAATGTTAGCAGTGTTCCCACTGTCTCAGAGAGCAGAGAAGGCTGGAGACTAATTTCCAAACGGAGAGAAATAAAATGCTCTGCCCTACCTTCTGGGGCTGCAGCTTTCTGAATGCCAGTGGTTATGGTTAGGTTTGTCCCATCCCCAGTGAGGAGTATGGGGCTCCTGGTGTGCCAGATGGAAGCGGGGAAGGAACCTGGAGTGCTTCTGAGACTTCAGGGTGTTGGAAGAACTAGTGGGGGAGCTGGTGGTGAAGGAGACAAACACAAGGACCAATGAGGCTGTTGGAAATTCAGGACTGAGACCCCTTCTCATTTCCATCATGGATAGGTGTTCCCTCCCCCGCGAGGATAATGCTACTGTGGTTCAGCAGCTGGAGACAAGACCCACTGCTTGTATGGGGTCTCCACCTCCTGGATGAAAACTCTGAGCTGGAAAGTGGGCTGGTGTGGGGCCTGCACTCCACTGCTGAAATGGTGACAGGCAAGGTGGGCAATATTCTCTGGAGACACCTTCATCATGTGGGAATACAAGGTAGTCACTGGTACTTGACCAGTGAAGTCAGCATCTGTGTTTGTGGCCAGAGCTATTAGCAAGGAAGTTGCTTCCTGAGGTGAGAATGAGGAAGGCAGGGATGAATGATGGGTTCAATCACAGAAAAGGATGTCCAGATTCTGGGGGTCATGCTACCTTCCAGAAGTTCCCCCCTTCCTCGACACAAATGCTCTGGAATAACTGGAGCAGCAGCAGAGCAATGGTGTGGCTAGAGAAGCTTGGATTGGGGTTACTGCCCGTGGGTTCAGCCCTACTGCGCTGCCCTCGAGGGCGGGGACTGGAGCCCACCTCGGTCCAGGATTGCTGGTTGCTGCCGTCTCTCCCAGGGCAGCCAGTGCTGGGGATCGCAGCGGCTGTTCCAGCACTGCCATGACAACAGCAGCTCTCGGGCTTCCTGCTTCCACCATCTGGCTGCGGATGGCTCTGCCAGGCAGCTGATTGGATCCAAGCTGAAATTTTCCATGCCTGTGGTCAGGTTGGGTTTCAGAAGGGCTTTCTGTCGAGGTAGAGAGCTGCAGGAGGGTCAGTCGAGGTAACTGTTGGGAAGCATTATCCTAAGGGAGTAAAGCACCTGGGGTGGCTCGTGATCAGGTCAGCAAGGTTGCAGCAGATGAACACTTGCTCAGTCCCCTGAAGCCGGGCAGTACAACATGGAGAATACAGATAGTTTCCAAGCAAGTGCTGTTATGTCAGCAGAGGGTGACACCGTCCCACTGCACAGCTGTGGCACTGCCAGTGACACTGGGGTAAGACCTGGTGACAGTGACCCAAAGGGGCTGGAAGTGCTGCCAAGGATTACTGGGCTTCGGCTGCCTCAGCTCCTTGGTTCAGTGACCTGTGCAGCCCCCGAGCTCTTGGCCGGTGCCCCAGAAACATGTGCTTGGGGGCCCCTTTGCTGGGTTCAGCCACCTACAGAGCTGGACCTTAAGTTCCTGCCCAGGGCTCTGTGTGCCAGAAGTGACGTGGCAAGGGGATGAACCAGAGGATTGAGTTTCCCATTCAGGTACAGGGTGACTGACTGGAGAGGTGTGGCTCCATGCCAGCCCCGTGTTCACCCAGGAGATGGAGGAAAGTGAGTGAGGGGTAGCAGGAAAGGACAAGTCCTGTTTTCCTTTTCCTATACTTTGGGCTGATGAGGAGGAGTGCAAGGTCCCTTCCATGTAAGGAGGTCAGTTCAGCGTCGATAAGAGTGAATGCATTCAGCTGTGAGCCCTCAGTGTTGCACAGCGGGCTCTAAGTTGTCTGCAGTGACGTTTGGAGTGATGACTGCTGGGTCCGTGGAAATGTCAGCTTTAGTGCTCAAGTGCCATCAGAAAATCAGATGAGACACAAGGAGGGGATCAGAGAAGAAAATGAAAACATTTTTCTGCTGTGAAGCACTCAAAAGCAGATCCCTTAACCCCAAGAAGGACATCCCAAGAACAGGCTCTGCCCTGGGGACACCACAGGTCTGTAACACCTTCCAGCTGAGCTGGACTTCTTTATCCTTGACAAGGGGCCCAAGAGCAGACAGGGTAAAGATAAAACTTATATATCACACATGGAGAGGGACTTCACTCTCTACAAATACAGGAGTGGGAGCATTGCAGGCAGGTTTGGGTGGGACAGGTGACTGCTTGGGAAACTCCTTGCCCCAGGGAGCTGGAGAGGCAAAAGGTTTGTGTTGGTTCAAGTGGAGGTGAAGCACTTCTGGAAAAGAAACACGTTTTGAGTTAGAGATGGAGAGAGGTGATTCCCCTTCACTACAGAGCCAGATGGAAGCACATGAGCTTTTGCTCAGGTTTTTTGCTCTTGCCCAGGCACTGGCTGAGCAGCAGGACTGTGAGCTGGATGGGCCTGTTCAGGAGCTTACCTTCCACTGCTGCCCCTGCAGCCACTTTCCCCACACCACATCTGCTTCTCCATGGCAAACACCTGAGCACAGGGGGGGGGCGAGGAGCCTGTCCTCTGGGCAGCAGCTCCAGAGCAGAGCGAGTAGAGGCAGAGGAGCAGGGTTTCAGCCCTTTGCTCCATCCAGAACTGTATCCAGCAGAGGAGATTTAGGTTAACTGCTCCATCATAGAATCCTGGGAAGGTTTGGGTTGGAAGGGACCTCAAAGCTCATCTCACTCGAGCTTTCCACTGCATCAGGTTGCTCCAAGCCCTGGCCCCCTGGCCTTGAACATTTCCAGGGATGGAGCAGCCACAGCTTCTCTGGGCAACCAGTGCCAGGGCTTCATCATCGTCACAGAGAATTCCCTCCTAACATCTAATCTAATCCTGCACTCTGTCCATTTAAAGCCATTCCCCCTTTTGTCTTGTCCCTCCATGCCTTGTTCCCAGTCGCTCTCCAGCTCTCTTGGAGCCCCTTTAGGTACTGGGAGGGGCTCTCAGGTCTCCCGGGAGCCTTCTCTTCTCCAGGTGCTCCCAGCCTGTCTCCAGAGCAGAGGGGCTCCAGCCCTCGGAGCATCTCCGTAACCAGACTGTGCCCCATTCCCGCGTGGCTCCGGCCCCGCACTCCCCGAGGGAATGCCCCCCCTGGAGCCGTGGGGACCCCCTGTGTCAGCCCCTCTCTAGGCCTGGGGGTGCAGCCCCGATGTCCCCAACCTCTGCTCCCCGCTGCGGCGCAGACACCCCGCTGATGGATCCACATACGGAGCCATCGCGGCCCCGGGGGCTCCCCCGCCCCTCCCGGCCCCCGCCCTTCCGCCGGCCCGGGGAGGCGGAGCCGGGCGGCGGCGGCGGCGGTGGAGGAGCAGGAGCAGGAGCAGGTGGGGCCGGGGCCGGAGCGGAGCCGAGCGGGGCCCCCGCCCGCACCTGCAGGTGAGCGGGGCCCGCCGGCACCGGGAGCAGGGCTGGCATCGGGACCGTGGGGAGCGTCCCATGGGAGCGCGGCAGGGACCGGGAGCGGGGCTCGGCGCCGCCCGGGACCGGCATCGGGGCGGGGCTGAGCAGGGGCGAAACTATCGCCTCTCCCCGCCTGGGATGAATCCGGAACCCCACACACTCCCTCCTTCTCGGTCCGGAGGTCCCCCACCCGTGATCACCCCCCAACCCGAGGATTCCCACCCACGGCCACCCCCCGAGCTCCGGGGATGCTCCGTTGCCCAGTGAGTGTGCAGCGCCTGTTGGGTGTGTTGGGGTTGGGAACCCTAGTACTGCCAACCCTGCCAGTCGCGGGGACCCAGGTGTGCAGGGACGGGGAGTCCCAGCAGGGCTGGGCGATCTCAGCCGGCATAAATTGGGCCAGTGTCATTCCGTCATCTCCCATCAGCCTTTCCAGGACCTTTTGGCCTTTGGGACAGGTGAACTTATGGAGTCGGGCTGCACCAGCAATCTGAGCAGGACCTGTAGTTTGGGGATGCAGGGGGGACACATCTCCTGAAATGCAGGAGAGGGCAGCTGGAAGGGGAGAGCATCCCAAAGTCACCAACTGCCGGGCGGAGCAGCCAGGAAGCAGCACCTTAAGGTCCCCAGGGCTGCATCCTCCCACTGTCACGGTGGCAGCTGCCAGCCTGGCTGGTCCCTGGTGCTGGCTGTTTCCTGGTCTGGCAGGTGACTCCCATGTCCTCGCTGGAGCTGCTCTAGACGTCCTCCTGCAACCCCATCAGCCTGCCTGGGCTTTCCCTGGGGAATGCCCGTGTCAATGATGGGAAGAGGGAGACTCTGCATGCCCCCTTGGTGGGTTCTCAGCACACCAGGGTGAAGGTCAGATAGATATTGGGTAAGGTGGAGGGAAAGCAGCAAGGAAACCTTCATCAGGGCCAGAGCAGACTGGTTTGGGCTGTAACTGGTTTGGGCTTTAACTGGGAGATGCTGCCCTGGGAGTGGTGTGGTTTCCCTCCCACCTTGCACACAGGCACAGGTCCCTGTCCTGTGCCACCACCCTGGAGGAGGATGTGCTCCATGCTGAGGCCCACACTGGCTGAGGTGTGAGGGACCCCTGTGCCCAGTGGCTCTTCTACCCTGTCCCCAGAACCTGATACCTCCCTGCCAAGGGGATGCTCACCCCTTCCTGCCCCTCTGTGCCAGGTCTCCAGGCAGGGTCTCACTACTGAGGACCTCTCACTCTGCCGAAGGCAGGGCCCACTGCCTCCAGGATGGCGAGATGGCTACCCCGCTCCACCGACCTGACCCGCTTCTGCCAGAAACTCAACCGAGTGAAGACCCTGGAGGACGACATGATGGAGACCTCCTTCAACAGATGCCTTTCCACCATCGACTTGACGCTGCTGGGCATTGGGGGCATGGTGGGCTCTGGGCTGTATGTCCTCACAGGCACCGTGGCCAAGGAGATCGCTGGCCCCGCCGTCATTGTCTCCTTCATCATCGCTGGCTTTGCCTCACTCCTGGCTGCTCTCTGCTACGCCGAGTTTGGAGCCCGTGTGCCCAAGACAGGCTCTGCCTACATGTTCACCTACGTGTCCGTGGGTGAGATCTGGGCCTTCCTCATCGGCTGGAACGTGCTGCTGGAGTACATGATCGGGGGGGCCGCAGTGGCCAGGGCCTGGAGCGGCTATCTGGACTCGATCTTCAACCACAAGATCAAGAACTTCACCGAAACCCATGTGGGTGCCTGGCAGGTGCCATTCCTGGCCCGCTACCCAGACTTCCTGGCAGCCGCCATCCTGCTGGTAGCCACTGCCTTCATCTCCTTTGGGGCCAAAGTGTCCTCCTGGCTCAACCATGTCTTCTCGGCTATCAGCATGGGTGTCATCCTCTTCATCCTCATAATGGGCTTTGTCCTTGCACAGCCCAAGAACTGGAGCACCCAGGAGGGCGGCTTTGCCCCATACGGGCTGTCAGGTATCATGGCTGGCACAGCCACCTGCTTCTATGCCTTTGTGGGCTTTGACGTCATCGCAGCCTCCAGTGAAGAGGCCAGGAACCCACAGAGGGCTGTCCCCAGGGCCATCGCTTTCTCCTTGGGACTGGCCACCGGCGCCTACATCCTGGTGTCAGTTGTGCTGACACTGATGGTGCCCTGGCACTCACTGGACCCTGACTCTGCCCTGGCTGATGCGTTCTACCGGAGGGGCTATGCCTGGGCAGGGTTTCTGGTGGCCGCTGGCTCCATCTGTGGTGAGTACAGGCAGTGGCGGTGGGAGCTGCCTGCCCCGCTCACCATGGGGGCTGGGAACATCCCCCAGTTTGGGTTTGGGTCTGATGGGATCTTCCTTCTTCTGCCTGTCCCTCAGCAATGAACACGGTTCTTTTGAGCAACCTCTTCTCCCTGCCGCGCATCGTCTACGCCATGGCTGAGGACGGGCTCTTCTTTCAGATCTTCTCCCGAGTGCACCCCCGCACACAGGTGCCCGTCGTTGGCATCGTGGTCTTCGGGCTGCTCATGGCTCTGTTGGCCCTCGTCTTCGACCTGGAGGCCCTGGTGCAGTTCCTGTCCATTGGCACGCTGCTGGCCTACACCTTTGTGGCTGCGAGCATCATCGTCCTGCGCTTCCAGCAGCAGAAGGTGGATGTCCCCGCACCGGCGGCTGGTGACCGGCCCAACCCCGAGCCCCACGAGGGTCCATCCAGTGGTGAGCTGAAGGAGTACGAGTCCTTCTCTGACAAGCTGCAGCTGGTGGACAGGGACAAGACCAAACAGCAGCGGGAGCCAGGGCAGCTGAAGGCAGCATTCGAGCCCTACCTGGAGTTCCTCAGCGACTTCTACCCAGGTGAGGTGGTCACAGTGGCCGTGGTGACCCTGATGGTGTCTGCCATCTGCCTCTGCTCCATCTTGGTCTTTGGCAACACCCACCTCCACCTGCCCACCTGGAGCTACTCCCTGCTGCTGGTCCTCTTCAGCCTGGGTTTCCTGCTCAGCCTCTTCCTCATCTGGGCACATGAGCAGCAGCACAGCACCCAGACCTTCCAGGTATGCCTGGGGCCCAGGCAGGGACAGTCCTTCTGCAGGGGTTGGGGTGGTTGGAGCAGCTCTGATGGACCTACAGGGGCCCCAGGCACAGCCTGCATTGTGTGGTCACTGGTCCCCAGGAGAGGACATTGCCAGCAGCTCCATGTCCATCCCATGGGATCACTCCTGCCAACCCTGGGCCCCCTCCTCTGCATCCCCACAACCCCTCCACTCCCCTCCTGCCTGTCCCATCTCCTTACTTTGGCTGCCCTTCACCAACGTGATGGAGCTCCTCTTCAGCCTCCAAACCTCTTCTGTGCCTTCCATGCCACTGTCTCCTGTTTTCAGCCCATCTGAGCCCTGATGTGGTCCATGCAGCCACGTGGATGGTAACACCAGTGGTGACACCACCTCCCTGCCATACCCCTCCCCTGGCTCCTCCAGCAAGGATCATATTGGCTCTGGATCACACCAGGAGTTTGGTTCTCATGATGATGCCTGTGCCGACCCTGTCAGCCTGGCTCCCAGCTTCTGTCTCTCTTGTTCCTTTTTCCTACCTTTTACCTTAAAAAAAGTGCCACTTCTAAAAATTCTAGGGTGACAGTCCCTTTGTCTCCCACGTTTGCCAGTGCTGCCTTTTGTCTTTATGATTTTAAGGATGAGAAATGTGGTCCTGCAGGTCTCAGCCCCACCGGCTCCTTTTGTCCCACAGATCCCGCTGGTGCCCCTCTCCCCAGCACTGAGCATCGTCCTCAACATCTACCTGATGCTGAAACTCAGCTATATGACATGGCTCCGCTTCGCAGTCTGGCTGCTCTTAGGTGAGTACTCCAGCCGCTGGGATGCCAACCAGGACTGTGCCAGTGGCCAGGCTGTGCTGGAGCCACTGCCATTCCTGTCCCCCCTGCAGGCCTGCTCGTCTACTTCGGCTACGGCATCTGGCACAGCAAGGAGAACCTGCGGGAGCTGCAGCCCCAGCGCCTCAGCGCCCGCTACGTGGTGTTCCCCAGTGGCAGCCTGGAGGAGAGGGTGCAGGCAGTCCAGCCCAGCTCCCAGCCCACCGCTGGGCTCCCAGACACCGACACCGACGACGGCAAGAGATGACACCCCAGGGGATGGGGGCACCTGGTGATGGGAGCATCAGAACCCCCTCCCGTAGTGAGGCCAGAGACCCATCCCCCTCCTCCTGGTCCCTCTGACAGTGGAGCCACCAGGGCTGCCCTGGGCGTAGGGCACCATCTGGAGAGGATGAGGATGCTCGCCCTTACCACATGCTCCCCACAGAGCATGGAGGGGCTGGCTCCCTCCCTCCTCATCCCCTGCACTCAGAAACTGGGTGTCAGCCCAGTGCCTGCCCTACTTGCGAGGAGCTGTGTCTTTGTCACCTCTCCCCGAGTGCACTCTGGCACTGTGCAGCACACCTCCTGTCCACTGGCACATCCACACAGCCAGGGATGCAGAGGTTCCCTGGGAACTGGGACAGGCATCTCAGCGCTGCCTATCCTGGCTCTCATCCTGTCTGTAGCCCTGACTGCAGCCCCCTTTCCTCCTGCAGAGCCCCTCTGCCTCCCTCAGAGTCCCTTCAGAAGGAAGCAGGGGGCAATTGTGCAGCCCCACAGGCATCCCTACCATCCCTGCCATCCTCATCCCCAGGGCTGCTCTTCTCAAAGGTTGGGACTGAGGGGGCTGATGGTGGAGGAGGTGGAGAAGGGACATGGCCAGAGGGGGTGGCCCAGGAAAGCCAGTGGAGGCTGGAACAGCAGCAGTTCAACTGCATCTTCCCAGCCACTGGAATTGCCTGTTTCGGGGGGAGCTGGGGGCCATGCCCACTGGAACGTAATACCATAGCCAGGCTCCTGCCCCAGCCCCGAGCGGGCTGTGGATGCTCAGGATCCCAGATGTGTTGCCTTGTCCTTGGAGGTCCCCAGCAGCATCCCCGATCTGCCAGGAGCCAGCTCCCCGCTTCTGCTGGGCCCCAGCAGCACCACCTGCCCCACCATGAGGGGCTCAGTCCCCTGTGATGCCCCTCCCAGGCTCTGGGGCTTGGGACGGGCTCAGCAGGTGCTTTTCAGTGTTGCCCCTTCCCCAGCAATCATTCCCGTGTTCTGGCTAATTTGCCTGTGGGCAGGCTAAAGTAGAAGGGAGGGGGATTTCAGCATGTTTTGGAAGTAAGTAAAGCAGGAGGTTGCTGACCTGCCGGGCCTTGCATCGTGGACACCTTGCTCCATTTTCATCCTCTGCATCCTGTGAGGAGCCAAGGATTGTGGGTGGGCAGGCTGGTTCATTGCTTTTCACTGCCCAGTCCCTGGTGGGGCCTAGAGAGGCTGTGGGGATTCTCAGTAGGATATGCTGGCCCCTGGTGAACCCCTCTGTGTGCCGGCACTGCTCCACGTCCCGCATCACCCTGGCGCTGCCGCCACCGGAGCAGCACAGCCCCACTGTGCGGTGGCCCTGCTTGGCACCTCTGTGTCGTGGCTTGTGAGCAACGAGCTGACTCGGTCACCCTCATAAACACTGGTTCTGCGATGGCTCTGGCTGGTTGTGCTCTGTGTGTCCCCAGGACTCCAGGTGGGAAGCTACTCCCCAGCTGATGCTCAGGAAAGCCCCCTAAAAGTGTGGGGAAAAGGAGGGTCGTGCTGCCCAGTGCCACCCTGCTGTCACGGGGTTTCCAGTCACAAGGACAGGCTCCAGCCACACCCACAGAAACTGGGACCCCCACAGGGCTGGGATAGCTGGGACTTGAGTATTACAGTACAAAAATACACTGATACTCACCTAGATGGGCCTGACTCCCCTGTGGCAGCAAGGACGATGCTGAGCAGCAGCAGGACAGGGTAACTAAAGCTGCCCAGGGTTATGAGCCAAAGGGATGGGACAACTTGTGCAATTAATAGAAATTAATGGATAACCTACAGATACCCCCATCGCCACCCCTGCTCTTCTCTAGAGAAGTTTCTTTCCTGAGATAACAAAGTCCTTCTTCATTAAAAAAGCAAGTATTCAACAGACACCTGGGGAGGCAGAGGCTGAACCCTCCTTAGAAACTCGGGTTTTGATCTCAGCAATAAATCCATTGTCAGCTGGATAAAGGCGAGTAGAAAGAACCACAGGGATACAACAGCAGAAGGGAGCCTGGTGCAGGGCTGGGGAAGGGCAGGAAGGTTCTCACAGAGCAGGATGGGCTGAGGGTCACAACACTTTAATCCTCCTCTGCGGGTATCACCAGGGCTGGGCTCTGCCAGCGGGGGTCTCAGTCAGCCTTTTAAGCTGGCAAAGACCAGAGAGTTGTTGAATGAGCCTTTTAACCATCAATATTTAATCTATTTGAAATCATTCATTAGTAAAAGTGCACAGAAATTGCTGTTAGGCCATGGCACACAAAGCCAGTGTGCGGGGGACTGGCAGGGAATTAAAGGATTGAAGCGTAATTCCCAGGTGCCTGGGAGGCCGGTGAGGCCTCTTGAGCACACTTGTGGGTTGGTTTTTTTTAAACAGTATTACAAAATTGTCTGGATCATGTGTCATACACCATCCTACTGCAATGACATACCCTGCACAAAATGTGTACAAATCGATTTTTAATTGACTACTCATTAATGCACACAGAAAAAAAGGGGGGGTGACAGTAGCTGCTGGAACCCTGGCAGTTCTCCTACAGGGATTTGTTCCTGAATATTGTATCAGCAGGAAAAAAAAAAAAAATCCAAAGTAAACAGCATCAGCTGAGCTTTAAGGTGGCAGGCTGTAATTGTGAGAGAAAACATCATCTACCCAAGTTGTACCTCCAATCCCAAATAGATTTAAAACCAAACCATCCCCATGTGCAGCTCCCAGACCTCCATTTCAAGCGCCTTCCCTGTGGCTGATCATACACCTGTTTTCCAGTGCAGTATCTTTCTCCAGATTAGCTTAAAATTATAACTGAAGTCCTATTTTCTGGGCAATGGTGTAATCAGGCTGCAGGAAATCAATCTAATTCCAGAGCTGCGTGGAAGTATGTGGGCCAGTGCTGGAGTAGCTGGTGCTGGGGCTCTGGAAACCAGGAAAGGCTTTAGGGGCCATGGGGCAGGAACAGCTCTGGCACACGTGTTCCAGCTGGGCTAAGAGGTTTAATGTCAGCCCTGGATGATAATCCGCATGGACAGCGGGGGAGTGGGTAGGCAGCAGCTGGGAATGGCTCAGCCTTGCCAGTGAAGCTGCTGGTCTGAGAAGACTGGGAGAGTAGCTACCAGGGCAGTGCTGGTTTTTTGTGACCTGGGAAGAGATTTCCCATAAGGCAAGTGCCAGGGGACAAAGAGAAATGCAAATTTAGAGAGGAATAACATGGGATTTGTACTAGAAAGAAAATCGATGCTGGGACTGCCACCCACCCCCTTTAAATGGCAGTGAGTGACTGAGCCCATGGCCCTTGGCCTCATCCCCAAGTGCAACTCAGGGATGCTCCAGGGATGGCCATAAGGACTGAGTTCTCGATAATTTCGGAGGCTCCAGGACACAGGATCACTGCTGCTGCCCACACAGCCCCGGGGATGGGAGCCATGGGAGCTGCAGGGATCTCTGGGCTGTGGGAGATCTTACAGGGATCATGGGGCAGTGGGACCCACAGGGGTCCCTGGGCTCTTGCATGGGGAAGCACAGGGGCGCAGGAGTCGCAGGGGAATAAGCAGTCACTGATGCACTTGCCGAGCTGAGCCCTGTTCGTGCTGGAGGGAGGAAAATGGGAGCCCTGGAAGGGAGTGGTTGGCTGGCACTCAGGACAGAGCAGCTCCATGTCCTAATTAAACCACTTCCCAGCCTCACATTCCTAAACTATCCCTCCCTGCTCCCCTCGGCTCTGAAAGGAGCACTGACGAGCTGCAGGCTCAGGGAGGCTGGCTGTAAGTAATCCTCTCATTATCCCTGCCATTTTCCCCCTCCTCCTCCTCCTGTAGACACTGCCTCAGGATGAGGTAAGCATCACACTACCAGCAGCGGTGTATCTGCTCCTACTGCCGTCCAGGGAGTGGCAGGGCATTAAAGGATGGCACAGACCAAGATGGTCGTGTTCTCCCCTCATCCCTCCACAATGCTCAGGTGGCTCAAGCCACAGGTCCACAAATCATTCCAGGAGTTTTTGTGCTGTGTCTCAGCAGTCCCTGCAGCCAGGCTGCTCTGGGGCCACGGCTCTTCCTTGTCTCACCAGACTTTATAAGGAGCAGGAATGTGCGGGTCCATCCCAGTGGCAGAGACTCGGTTCCAACAGCAGATGCATCTGCTGCACTCACTTTGGGAGCAAGGAAGGAAAAGCCCATTTCCCCACACGTAACACACCACACAGACACAAAACTGCAGACACTGGTCTCGGTGATCTTAGAGGTCTTTTCCGACTTTAGAGATTCTATAAAAGGACAACAAATCTTCCCCGTGTGCACAGGAGACATGGCATGAAGCAATGGACTGAAACTGTCATGAGGGAGATTTAGGCAAGAGACCAGAGACACTTCCTGAGGCAATGATAGCTTGGCCTGAGGTTATGAAACATCATTCATCCATCAGAGGGAAGGGGCTGCAGCGAGTAGTTCCTCTGGAGCCAGGATGGCCGATTCTCATGATCTCGCGCTTCCCTTGCTAGACTGGAAGCGTTTTAGGGCAGCACTGCGGGTTTCAATCCTTGCTGGGACAAGAGCCAAGGCACCTCTGGGCATGGCAGCATGCTTGATATCCTAAAGGGCATGAAAGTCCTCAAGAAAAATGCTTGGAAAGCACAAAAAAACCCTTTTCTGTGTGTGTGGAACAGCTGGAGCCACACTGCAGGATCGCTGCCCAGCCCTGACTCCAAACACACTTGTTAGTAACTTCTACAGCTAAAACTTCATGGTCACCTATGTAACTTACACCAGAGGAGTTTCATGCGGAATCAGGCAGGGAGCTTCCCTGGAGTATTAATGCTCATTTTCCAGAAACAGGCAGCTGGAGCAGTCCCAGAGTGCTGCAGCAAAACAAGCTGGCAGATCCTTCTGAGAGGTGATGGGCAGCAAGGATAGTCCAGGCCTCAAAAGGCCACTGAGCAAAGTGAGAGCTGCTCAAGAATTCAGGAAAAAATACCATTAGTGGAAATCAATATGGATTTGTGTAACCTCCGTGCTTTAATGGAGAGAGGAGCCTGGAAAGAGGCAGCAGTGCTGGTGTGCTATAGCACCTTCAAGAGGCATCCAACTGCTACCTGGCAATTTACGTAAAGAAAATAAAAAGGAAAAATATGGAATTGACACTTGGACCATAAAAAAAGGCTCAATGCTGGAACCATTGAGTCCCTCATGAACAGGGGACTCAAAAAATATTCTGGTGAGTTATTCCAAGATTAGTTCCCAAAAAAAACAACACAACTCCTCTCCTTTTGAGGAAAGAGGAACCGAGATTCCAGCTGGGGACATCACCAGGTAAATTGGGAATAACTGGTATAACAGAACTATAGTTCTTGGTGTAACTCTCCATGTTAATTTCTCACAACCTTTTGCAGCAGCTGCCAAAGCACATCAAATTCCTCCAACTTCCTCCACAAAACCTGCTCCAGCTCCCTGCTCCCCCTTCTTCCAGCAGCCCTCACGGAGGGCAGATCTCACCTGTGCACCAAGCAGGCATTCGCTTCTTTTCCCTCAGCCACCTCCAAACCTCATCAAACCCACAGAACTGGATGTTCAATATCCAGTGACATTGCCCTGTAAAACACTGCTGGCTCACCTGGTGGTTTTAGGTTCCTAAATGGTATGTTGATAGGTTTATCGAACCTAAACCTACCCAGCTCTGACTTCACTGACTAATGAATCCATGCATGTCAAGGCAGAGCCAAGTAGATCTTCTCCAGCTGGTGAAGAAGGAAAGGCTTGGGGTGTATTGGTGTATTTTTTCACAGGATTTTAATTTGCATCTCTTCTTTGGACAGCACAGGAAGGGCTAGGGGCAAAGGACATAACAGAAACAACAAATGGTGAGCAAGTATTTTAAAATATAAGTACTTACACTGATTTAAATCAAGGCCTGTAAAGCTTCTATGCTCAATACATGGAGTTTTCATCTGGAGATCGAGGGGGTGTCAGGATGATTCTGACATTTCCAGAGACAGCCCAGATTTACAGATGTCACAACACACAAGAGACCCCTCCAAATGGTGTGGACAGACAGGTGTGAGTCCAAGGTACAGGCTTGATTTATTGGATATATAACTGTAAAATGAGTTGCACATTTATAGGACAGACTTTACTAGGTAAATCATAGCATTATTTTAAAATAAAAAAGATAAACCTTACAGAATTGCAGAATCATTTAGGTTGGAAAACACCTCTAAGATCGAGTCCAAGCATTAACCCAGCACTGTTCACTAACCACTAACCGTAGCGGCCCCTTTCATCCTGAGAGGCTGGAAAAACTGTTTCTTATTTTAATGAGTAAAATTTTAGTAGAATAAGTACTGTAATTCTAGACTACAAAACAATTCCTGTATTAATTTATCAGTCAGAAATTAAAAACATTCATTATAGTAATTTTGACTCTAAAAAGGAAAAAACTAGAAACAGAGAAATGCAATATGTTAATACACTGGATGATTTTTCTCTCTTAGTTCCAAGGCCTCAGGGTGAGGGGGGGACAGCCCGGCTCGCTCACACCGCGGTTCGCCCCCGCCACCCCCGGCCGGGCCGCGTCGCTGCCAGGGCAAGCGGGGCGGGGCCGCCCCGCACCCTCCGAGAGCCGCGTTCCTCCGGGTGGCCGCCACCCCGGCACCCTGTGGCCTCTGCCTCCGCTCCTTGTCCGCCTTTCCCCCTCCGTGCCGCCATGCAGGGCCCGCCCTGCGGGTTCCTGCTCGACTACAAGACGGCCAAGTTCTCGCTGACGCGGAACCGGCGGGTGGGGCTCCTGCACCGGCTGCTGCAGCTGAGCGCGCTGGGCTACCTGCTGGGGTAGGGTAGGGCAGGGATCCCTGCCCTGGGGGGCGGCCGGGGGTCCTGCTGGGGTAGGGTAGGGCAGGGATCCCTGCCCTGGGGGGCGGCCGGGGGTCCTGCTGGGGTAGGGTAGGGTAGGGTAGGGATCCCTGCCCTGGGGGGCGGCCGGGGGTCCCTCAGCGCTCCCCCCCGCAGGTGGATGCTGCTGCTTCGGAAGGGGTACCAGGAGCGCGACGCGGCCCCGCGGGTCGCTGTGGTCACCAAGGTGAAGGGGGCTGCTCCCACCGGGGCCGCGGGCCGGCGGCTCTGGGACGCGGCGGATCTCACCTGGCCCCCGCAGGTACGGCCGGGCCCCGGGCGGGGGCGGGGGGGGCACACAGGAGGTCAGTCGCCTTGGCAAGGGAACGCCGCTGGTACCATTTGCTTTCCAAAGCCCAAACATGGCCGTTACTGCCTGTTACCCCCGGTAACAGTGTCACAGGGTGTCCCCTGGAGTCACCCCCCAACTGATGGTGCCTTCTTGCTTCCCAGGGAGAAAATGTGCTTTTTCTGGTGACCAATTTCATTGCCACAGCCCAGCAGGCCCAGGGCACCTGTCCCGAGGTGAGTGCGCAGGGCTAGCCCAGCCCAGCCCCCAGGGGGTGGCGGATGGAGCCATCCATCCTGCTCCTCGGTGGGACCCAGAGGAAGACCAGATAAAAGGGAAAAATTGATTTATAATCCCAACAAACCTGATTCCCCTCATTCCCACTGCTCCATAGCTCTTCCATACTCATCTGCACTTGCTCTGTCATGCCTGCATGAGCCAAGGTGTGTATCCAGATGCTCTGGCCAGAACTGCTTGTGGTGACAGGACAAGACTGCTTGTGGTGACCAGGATAAGGGTCACCAGCTTTGGGCTCCTTGGGTGGTGGCACTGTATGACCATTCCAGGCTTTCTGCTGCCCTCGGACAAGGGGACACTGACAGGCAGTCCATGGATATTTGTGTCACGTTTCCTTGATAACTCCTTGCTGCAGGACTAATGTCCATCTTAGCGTCCTGTTTTTAGGAGGAACAAAACAAAAGGTCTAGGTGGTTTCCCAGCCAGCCAACACTTAGTGGTATATGTTCTCTGGGAGAAATCTTCCCTTTAAGGCTTGGATCAGGCCAGCCTCCTCCCCTGAGCTCTCCCAGGCTGGACCTGGCTTGGTAGATGGGAGCAAATGTCCTTGAAGCTGAGCCACTGCTGGCACCTTGTGCCTGAGCCAAGCACTGATTGTCCTAATGGTCCCTTCAGCTCTTGCTGTGGCCAGATGCTGTGGGAGAGGAGGAGCAACCCTAGTTTTGGGTCATGGAAAATGGCACTAATGATCCATCTTTAAAATGCTGATAACTCCTAAAGTCCTGACAGGGAGGAATACAAGGGCTGTAAGGGCATTTCAGGGCTCTCACAGGCAGCCACAGGCATCTCTGGGTGCTGGTTTTGCAGTGTGCAAGCCAAGGACACAGGAGAAAAGGATTCTGTCCTGTTCCAGTGCTGCGGCGTGGGTGGGTGCCCGTCCCAGCCTGCACCCCATGCTGATCTCCTCTGTTCCTGGCTTTGGGGCTGTAGGTGACATTTTTATTTGGAAAGCTTTGAAGATTTAGCAGTGACAGCTTTTGGCTCTTCAGGAAGTTAGAGCAGTCTGAATATTCCCTGACTGTTCTCGATGACCCAGGTATTCAGTGCTGGCAGACCAGTGTGTCTGGGGCCAGAAGCGGCACCAAACACAAGCCAAGCTGTTTTAGCAGCTGTACATGCAGTTACTCCTTGTGTCCTTATATCCCTCTATTTTCCAGTGTTTGTTCCTTTTAAGACCACGTAGTGCCCTCCTTTCCATGCTTTCTCTTCCTTCCCTAAACAACCCATCCCCTATACACCCTGTGCAATACCCACATGTTCTCTTGTATCCCATACTCCCCTAGGCAGTGACTCTCCACCCAGCCCAGAAGTGCTGCTCCTCTTGGCTCATGTTGGTGGGTTTCACACCTAAACAAGAAACTGAGGCTGTTCTGTGGCAGCCCTGGGAAGGCCTGGACAGATCCCCACTTCTTCTGACTCCATAACTGGGGGTTCCCTGCCTGCATTTGAGCCTCTGTGCCCCCTGAGTCTTGGGGACATGGGTTTCTGATGGGCTGGCAACTCCTGCCATGGCCTGGGGTAGCTGGAGAAGGTGTTACTGGTGTTCCCCCACCTGTCATCATCTCTCTGTGTTTGAATAAGTTTTTTACTGCTCCTGGGAACCAGGTGGGTCCAGAGTGAGCTTTCCCTGTCTCCTGTAAAACTTGTGTCATGCTGGATTTAGGGTCTACTAAGCTCTTCCTGAGGGGGTTTGTCACGGTGCTTTACAAGGCGCCTCATGGGCTCAGTGGGAGCCCCTGGTGGTGAAGTGGTTAAAGCACAGCGCTGTGAACGCTGAGACCCGGGTTCGATTCCCGGTCGGGGCCCCTCCCCGGGCAGATGGAGCTCGCTAGCCCTGTAAGGCAATCCATCTACGTCCTGAGGACCTCGCTGCCACCGTCCAAGCGTGCTTGGCCCCGGCAGATGAACCTCAGGATTAAAGGGTGGGCTCAGTTCCGCGCACACTGTGTCTCACCTAAACAATCCAATGCGCAGGCTGGAAGGTGGAAAGACCTTCCCCGGTTCTTCGTTCGCGAAGAGACTGGCCATACCATACCATAATGGGCTCAGTCATTAAGGCCCTCCTGAACACCCCTGTGCTGGTTCCCAGTTGCAGCTGAAAGGTCTGAGTTAGCTCTGGAGGCTTCCTCTGCCTCTGAGGAGCAGGAGGCACGTGCTCCCAAGAGCATGGAGACAGGCAGGAAGGATTGTCCCTCAGACATGCCTCTCTCCTCACTGGCTGGAGCCTGTGCAGGGTCTGGACATGGTGAATGTTCTTCTCTAACTGTTTGGGAAGTGCTTGGAGAAACAGAAGCAGTAGCACAGCAGTGGGGGTGAAGGACAGCATGGCCTCAGGTGGCTGCACAGCCCAGTGACAGCACTTGTCTCTTGTCCCTCCCAGAGCCCCTCTGTCCTTGACGCGATGTGCGCAGAAGATGCAGATTGTCCTGTGGGAAACCCCGTGGTTCGTGGCAATGGTACTGGGAGTTTTGCTGAATAAACATAAAATCCTAGAATGATTTGGGTTTAAAGGGAACTTAAAGCTCATCCAGTCCCACTCCCCTGCCATGGCAGGGACACCTTCCACTAGACCAGGTTGCTCCAAGCTCCATCCAACCTGGCCTTGGACACTTCCAGAGATGGGGCAGCCACAACTGCTCTGGCCAACCTGTTCCAGAGCCTTACCACCCTCACAGGGGAGAATATCCCATCTAACCCTGTCCTCTGGCAGTGGGAAGCCATTCCCCCTTGTCCTGTCATTCCAGACTGTTGTCCCAAATCCCTCTCCAGCTCTCTTGGAGCCCCTTTAGGCACTGAAAGGAGCTTTAAGGTCTCCCTGGAGCTTCCTCTTCTGTAGGCTGATGAACCCCAACTCTCTTAGCCTGTCTTACATTCTCTGTAATTTTTAGGGATAAAAACGGGGAAATGTGTGATGTTCAATGCCACCCATTCCACCTGTGAGATCTATGGCTGGTGTCCTGTGGAGAACAGTACCTTGCCCAGGTAATGATAGATGAGGGGACAGCAGGTATTGGGAGCTTTGGTTTCTTCCCTGTGTGTAAACCAGGAGCCTGACCCTGACACTCGCCCAAGGGCAGCTGTGTTCAGGGAGACCTTTGACATCAGACTCCTGGTCAGTTAAGATCAGAGAACTTTATGCAAGAGCGTTTCTTGCATCTGTCCATTGTGGCCAAAATTTTGGGATTGCGGACGAGACTGTGGAGCTTGTGGAGTGGGGCTGTGCCTTGGCCACTGAGCAAGGCTCGAGTTCATTGGTGGTTGTTTTCCAGGAAACCTCTTCTGGCTGAGGCGGAGAATTTCACTCTCTTTATAAAAAACACTGTCCACTTCACCAAATTTAACTTCTCCAAGTAAGTACAGTGCTTGCCAGCCAGCCTGTGCCTGGTCCAGCCTCAGCGCTGAGCCTGTCTGTCATGGGGCTGAGCACCTGAGGCCACGTGAAGCCACCCGGGACAGGTGGTGCTGGGCAGTTAGAGGCAGGATGGATGTTCAGGTGAACACCCTGTGTGTGCAGCTGTGAAAGCGATGGGATGGGGACACCTCAGAGAGAGGGACTGGTCATGCCCATGTAGAGCACTGCATAGAGCTGGACTAGGCCATCCAGGGAGTGTGACTTACATTTTTGCCTTTTAGTCCTTGAAAGTGGTTTCACAGAAGCCACGTAAAGGGCTGCACTGGCCTCACAGCCCCAGGCATGCTGACTGTTCTGCCTTACCCTGGCAGAAGATGCAGTGTGAAGCAGCTGAACTGTCCCTGCTGTCACCCCTGGAGCACTGAGTTGAGCTGGGTGGGAGCTGGGTGGCGGGGAAGAAAGAAGAAACATTAGGAGGTGGAGGGGAAGGCTATGGCAGGTGCTGTAAAGTATGATAACTGTGATTCCTCTGGGATGGTTTTACTCCGCCCTCTCTCTATCTGAGGCTTTAGGCGAGGCACCCACTGAGAGAACAGAGAACTCGGGGGCCCACTCCAGCAGGAGGGTCCCCTTTTCAGTTCCAACAGACAGGCTCCATGACCTTCCACACTCTGTCCCCCTGACCCTGCTGTCTCAGGTGCAACACTTTACAAACCAGTGACCCCAACTATTTCAAGAGCTGCACATATGATCCAGTCTTCAACCCCTCCTGTCCTGTGTTCCGTGTACGTAACATGGTGGAGGCAGCTGGAGAGAACTTCGGAGACCTCGCACTGCTGGTACTTGGCTTTTATAAAAGTATGGAAAATGACTCAAAATTCCCCAAGGAAAGAGGCAGGGGACAGGACTGACCCTGAAATGCTAAGGGAATGTATGATCTAGGAATGCTTGAACAGAAAAGAATTCAGCCAATTTCTGATCCCATGCTTCTCCTGGAGTAAAAATGTGTTTTGCAGGGGGGGAGCATTGGAGTTCTCATCAAGTGGGACTGTGATCTGGACCACCCTGCTGCCCAGTGCCAGCCACAGTATTTCTTCAGCCTGCAGGACACGAGGTACAATTTCAGGTGAGGATGCTGGGACAGTTGCCACATGGGGCTGTGGGATGAGCACACTGCAGTCATTTGAGACCTCAGTTCTGATGAGTACTCTGAAAGGACCAGCAGGGGCACAAAGTTTGCAGGTGTCATATGCAAACTCACCTTCAGTCGATGCACCAGTCTGGGTAGGAGTGTTGGTCTGCTGGAGGGCAGGAGGCTCTGCAGAGGGATCTGGACAAGCTGGATCCATGGGCTGTGGCCAGTGGTGTGAGGTTCAACAAGGCCAAGTATTGGGTCCTGCATTTGGGTAACAACAGCCCCATGGAATGCTACAGGCTGGGGGCAGAGTGGCTGGAAAGCTGCAGGCAGAAAAGGACCTGGAGGTGAATATGAGCCCAGATGGACAAGGCCAAGGGCACCTGGACTCTACCAGCAATGGTGTGGCAGAAGGACCAGAGCAGCGACTCTTCCCCTGTCAAGAAAAACATTGAGGGGCTGGAGCATGTCCAGAGGTGGACAGGGGAGCTGTGGAAAGATCTGGAGCACAAGTCTGATAAGGAGTGGCTGAGGGAGCTGAAGGGACTCAGCCTGGAGAAAAGGAGGCTCAGGGAGGACATTCTCACTCTCTGCAACTCTCTGACAGGAGGGTGGAGCCAGGTGAGGGTTGGGCTCTGCTCCCAAATAACAACAGATGGGGCTAGAGGAAACACCCCTAAGTTGTACTAAAGGAGGTTTCGATTGGGTATTTGGGATAATTTTTTCACAAAAAGGGTTGTCCAGCCCAGCAGAGGCTGCCCAGGGTGGTGGTGGAGTTCCCATCCCTGGAGGGATTTAAAGGCTATGGTACTAGTGGAGAACATGGTGGTGCTGGGTTAGGGGTCGGACTTGATGATCTTAGAGGGCTTTTCAACCTGAATGATTCTGTGATTCCAAGACAACAGGAAATTGTAACTCAGGGTAGGGCCTGTTAGTACCAGGATGCTATGGCAGATTTGCAGTGTTTGGAGCTGTGCATGGCATTACCTGCCTGAGGCAGGGACCTCTGGCTGTCTACACCTGAACTGGATGCATTGGGGGCTGTGTTTTCCCAGACTGGGTGCTGAGGGGATGCAGATGCCCCACCACCGATGCCAGCCAGTGAGTCGTGGCAACACGTATGTCACCCAGCTCCCAGTCTGGAGGACGCCAGGTGTGCACAGGCACCCAGTAGCCCCAGCAATCCTTCGGCACTGGCAGCCCACATCCCTCACTGCTTTCTGAGATGTGTCCAATATCTCCCACAGAACTGCCTCTTACTACTGGGACTCCCAGCGACAGCTCTACCGGAACCTGCTGAAGCTTTACGGCCTCCGCTTCGACATCTCCGTGCACGGCCAGGTACCGTGTCCTCGGCAGCCCCCAGGGCTGACCCCTTGCACCGATTGCTGCTGCTCTCCTGCAACCACCCCTGTGGCTTCCTGCTGCTGTTGCTTCTCTCCATCCTGGTGAGCTCTTCACCTCATTGCAGAGTTTTCCAAGTAGAGTGGGAGAAAATGATCTCTCCCATTTAAAGAAAAACCTCTTGGTTATTCCCTGAGCAGGGAGGCTTCCCTCCCTGAGGGTCTGACACAGGGGCTGTGAAGTGTTGTGTAGGCAGGGTGAGCTGGTCTGGGTCTGTGGGCATCTCTGAGGGTCTTGACGGGGAAGCACCCTGGCAAAGGACAACCTGAACTTTTCTGAACCTGGACAGTTAATCCCCTTTTGATTAATTGTACCCTCAGGGACAAAAGGTGTGGGCATGATCAGGGCTGGACATGCCCCAGCCATTTGAGCTGAGAGCCCTGAAACCTCCAGTTTCCTGGGCTCCTCCCACAGCATGGGCAGCAGATGACAGGAGGATTCTGCCCTTGTGCCCTGCTCAAGTGAGACTCCACTTGCAGAGCAGCCTCCAGCTCTGGGGTCCCTAACATAACAAGGATGTGGAGCTGCTGGAGCAAGTCCAGAGGAGGCCACAGAGAGGCTCCAAGGGCTGAAGCAGTTCTGCTCTGGAGCCAGGCTGGGAGAGCTGGGGAAGTTCACCTGGAGAAGAGGATGGTCCAGGGAGACCTGAGAGCCCCTTGCAGGGCCTAAAGGGGCTCCAGGAGAGCTGGAGAGGGACTGGGGGCAATGGACAGGAGTGGCAGGACAAGGGAAAATGGCTTCCCGCTGCCAGAGGGCAGGGTTAGATGGGATACTGGGAAGGAATTGTTCCCAGGGAGGGTGATGAGGCCCTGACACAGGTTGCCCAGAGAAGCTGTGGCTGCCCCAGCCCTGGAAGTGTTCAAGGCCAGGCTGGACAGGGCTTGGAGCAACCTGGGCTGGTGGAAGGTGTCCCTGCTTATGACAAGGAGTGGAACAAGATGAGCTTTAAGTTCCCTTTCAACTCAAACCATTCCCTGATTCTGTGATCACTGACACTACTCTGTGCAGCATCACTGACACATGCAGGGCTCAGCTGTGCAAGAAGAAGTCTGTAATGAGAGCTCTTGGCACCCTGACAGATGTCAACAGCTGGACTATCACACTCAGTGTGCCATTTGCACCTGAAGAAGGTGAAGCACACAGCACAGGACAGGGTGCACCACTTCTGGGTAGTGAGGGCAGGTCCAGGAGCAGGAGAGAACAGCCAGCACAGAGACTGTAACCCCAAAATCTCTCCCCTCAGAGACCACCAGACTCATTTGAGCAGAGAGGGACACATTGTGTCAGGGCCATGTTCGCTGGGATGTGGTTCCATGTGTGGCAGCTGCAGCAAGAGGGAGGCTCCTGCCATGCCTGGGGGAGCAGGCGGGTCACAGTAACCTCTGCTGCCACCAGGTCACCGGCTGTCAATTCCTTCTTTGACAGCCGAAGGGGGTTGGAGTCAGCGCAACAGCAATTCCTAGAGTTGAGCATGGAGAAATGTTCCTGGATCCCTCCTGCACCCCCCACCTTTAAGCACACTGCCCCACTCCCCTCTCACCACTCTCTACTTATTGTCTTCCCTCTCCACTATTTCTCACCAGGCTGGGAAGTTCAGCATCATTCCTACTGCCGTGAGCTTCGGCACAGGCATTGCCTTCTTTGGTGCTGTGAGTACTCCAGATACACTCTTTTCCTCCAATCCATGGCTTGGGATTTGCCACTCATGGGTTGTTTCCCTGCCTGCCTGGGCACAAGGTTTCCAGGGTGCCAGTCAGCATGAATGGGAGACGATCTGGCAGGCTGTCAGCTCCCGTTTCCCTGTGACCATTAGCAGAAATGGCAGCACTGGGATCCTGAGCACTGTCAGGGTCATGTCTCATGGGGGCCAGGTGTTTGTGTGGGCCCTGGGAAGGAGCATCTCTGGGGTGCTGGCAGGAGAGAGCAGCTTCACTCTGCTTCTCCCCTGACTCTAAAGTGACCTGGTGTCCTGTCACCAGACGGGGCAGCTCCTCATAGAGCCCTTATGTGGCTCTTTCCTTCCAGCAGGTAACTGGAAGGGAGCCTGAGGTCCCCCACCTGCTCCCTCTTTCGTCCCCAACATGCCCATCCCAGCCCATACAGAGCAGTGAGGGCACTGGAAGAGCACTCCCAGCATCCATCCATGGCAGCCCAGGTGATCCTGTCTGACCTGTGCAGCTCATGGGAGCCTGTTGGGTCAGAGAGGAGCCATTGGAGTTGGCAGGTGACCTGACCGGAGGCAGGGCCAGCTCACTGCCCTCAGCACTGGCCCACAGCCAGCTGTGGGGCTCACTGGGAGCTGGGGTGGAGGGCCAGACATTCCAGCGGGAAGTTTCCCTGCATACAGTCTTCAACATTTGTCTGTCTCCAGGCTACAGTGGTCTGTGACCTGGTTCTGCTCTACCTGGATGCAAAGGCTGACCTTTATTGGAAGGAGAAGTTCGAGGAGGTAAGGGTGGGGCCACATGGGAGAGAGAAGGTTGGAGTGAAGGTTTTTGGAGTGAATAATTTTATGATTTTCTGCCTCTTGGTTAAAACTCAGTTCATAAGATCTGGGAAGATCCTGGTGGAGCAGCTCTTAGTCTCCAGCTTTTGGGCTTGGTGGCTGGTCTGAACTGGGAGAGCGATGCAGCTGGTACCAGGAAAAGCTGCATCACAACCTCAGTTCCTGTTAGACAACAAGGGGTCCCCATGGGGACCTTATCTGGAAATGTGACTCAGCTCCACACTTATTCATCTTCTTTCAAAGGGAATCTGGCTGGACTCCATGCAGAGAGAGGGCAGCTCTTCCAAGCATGTCCTGTGCTGCAGTTCAGTGACAGGTTTTCATGCCTCACATGATTCCTGCTGTGGGAATTCACTTCCCTGGTGAATCAGTAAGTCACAGGGAGGGCCCCACAGAGCAGGAGACCTGCCAGCCCTGCCTCCAGCTTTGTCTGGCCAAGTCTTTGGAGCTTCCAAGGACTGAGATCCACCAACTACTGGTGAACTGTGCCAGGGCTGCACTATCCTACAGGTGGAGAATGTTCCTGATGCCAGATCTGAAATCAGGAGCAGAGTGGGAGTCTTGGACAGTGAATCTGTTCTCATGGGACCAAGGAGAGCAGTGCAAGTCCACCTGGGCCGTCCCCATGCCTGTTGTACTGTTACCCCTGTTCATTTTCCAGGCAAAACCCCCTAAAGGTAAGCCTGAGGCCTCAGCTTATGGACATCGGGAATGCTCCACCCCAAGCACCCTTCCTTCTGGAGCCACCTCCAGGTAGATGTGATGGGGGCATGGCTGCGGCCCAGGTGAAGGTGGGCCAGTCCTGGCCCAGGTGGGCACTGCTGGGGTTAGGGTCTGCCTTTCCTGGAGAAACATTGGCAGCTGCAGCAGTTCTTGGCTCTTGGAACACAAAGCCATCCCAGGTGCCACTCCCAGCACTGATAACTGGTGCCGGAGCAGAGCTGTGCTTGCCAAAAGACGCTTAAAGCACTTTATGTTTCTCCACATTATGATGGCTGTGGGCTTTGATTTCCCATGAAAACCAGAGATGCAATGGAATAAAGCTGTTCCAAAAGTGGGAGGTGACTCTGCTTTGTCTCCAAGCCCTGCTGGTGGCTGTAAAGTTTTGGGATGCTGCTCTCACACCACCCTGCATGCTTCCAGCTGGGATGACTTCATGTGAGCTGCCCAGATCCTTGGGAGGTCCCTGGGAAGCTCAGAGAGGATTTAAGGTCCCAGCTTAAGGCTCCAGGCCTTGGCTGGTACTTCCTGGGGGGTGCAATGGTTTCTGCACCCCCACTTCCTGCCTTTTTCCAGGGCTGATGCTCAGCAAGGACAGGCAGAGCCCTGGGTCAAGCCGGGGTATTTCGGAGGTGCTGACCCCTCACTCCCACCTGGCCCAGGCTGTATCAGCCTGGTGCAGGGCAGGGATTGTCCAGGTCCATGCCCAGGGACTGCTCTGTGAACTCCACAAGGCTCAAAAACAGAGTTTCTGTGGCTTCAAGCACCATTTAATGCTCCCTACCGGGTCTGACTGCATGGTTTGGAGGGGTCCTGCAGCATCACTGCACCTCAGCTTCCCGTCCCCCTGTGCCCCCTGGCCGGCCCCTCCTGCCCTCCTGGAAATGCCGCAGGTAGAACTGTGCCGCCAGCTGCTTGGTCATGGTCTTCAGCGCCAGGAAGGCAGCCACGATCTCGGCGAGGAGGAAGGCCAGGAACAGGCTGTGCATGGGCATCTCCAGTGGCAGGTGAATGACCTGGCTGTCTGTCAGCAGGAAGAGCAGGAGGGGCAGCTGGATCAGGAAGGAGAGTAGCAGGAACCCAGCCAGCTCAGGCACCTGCAGGAGCAGAACCTGCTGAGATGGGGTGAGGAGGCAGCAGTGGGGTCGGGGGACCCTCTGTGACCCAGGAGCTCCCTGCATCGGCTGCTGCCGGCCTTGGCACCCGGGTACCGGGGACATCCCTGCCCGCAGAGCTGTGGTCGGATGTGGTGAGATGCTATCAAACCCAGCGCTGGAGAGCTGCACCCACAGGGACGATAAAGCAGGAGGGTGAGTCCCCTTTGTCTCCTGCCTTCAGGTCCTGCCTGCACTCATGATTCCCTCTGGAGACAACTCCAGGCAGAACTCCAGGAAGAAAGGGGCAGTGATGGGCACTTGGGTTCCAAGGGAGGGCCCATCAAGCTCCCCCAGCTGGGCTGACCCTCACTGAGCAAAAGGGGCTTGTGTGCCAGGGCAGGTGGTGTTTACCTTCTCCTGAAGATTGCCCAGGTAGCCCAGGTAGAGTCGGAAGCCCTCAGCCAGCGAGAGAATGAGGAAAGCTGTGACCAGCAGGAATTGGTAGTGCCAAGGCAGGAGGTGGTACTGTAATGGGGGCACAGCCTTGTCCCAGTCAGCTCCAGCCTCTGCACCCCAATTCAGTTGTCCATGCCTAGTTTCCCATACTCTGTGCACCATTCACTGTGCTCAGTTCCCAGATACCTGTGCCCTTCTCCCCATCCCATTTGCCCTGTCCCCTGCACCCCATGCCCAGCTTCCTGTGTCCTGCTCCCCATACCCAGTGCTCCATGCTCTGCCAGTCCCACCATGCTGATGCCCAGCTCTGCCCATTTTTCTCTCCCAGTTTAACCTTTCCTGCCTGGAAAGTTCCTGATTTCCACTTCTGGCAGCCAGAGATGACCCATCTTGACTCATGGGGGTCAGGGCATTTTGGAGACCCATTAATTCTGAAGAGGCTCCTGTCTCTGTTTCCCCCCTGTTCACTGTTTGCCCCCTATAACAAGGGAGGCTGGGCAAGAGCAGCTCACCCCCCTCCCCACGTGCCCCATGGGACAGTACCTTCAGCTGCAGCATCATCCCCTCAGCCAGACACCAGACGGGGAAGTAGTAGACATTGAAGTAGAGCATCACCTGGAGGGGCAGGCTGGCCAGCACCTCATGGGCTAGGCAGGATGGGCAGGAGTGGGCAGGCTGCCCAGCATCCCCGGTGTCCCCCTATTCAGAGGGACCTCAACTCGCAGCTTGTGGAGTGGAGCAATAGCCCACAAGCACAAGCAGCTCTTTGCGGAGTTTTTTTTACTCCCCTCCGTGGTGGGAGTGGTACAGAGACCCTTTGGGCGCCCCTGGCTCAGAGGCACCCAGGTGATGTGCTGAGCAGGCTCATGGTGATATCCCCCTCCCCAAACCCCCCTCCGCAGAGCCCCACTGCCCATACCTGGCTGGTAGAGGTGGGCAGTGCCGCTATCCTGGGTCTTGTTGGTTATGAAGAGGGAGCCACTGAACGCCACCAAGCCCCGGCGCAGGTTGGGGGGCAGCGGGGTATGCGCAGCCATGGCTGACAGCTGAGCCCCGCTCTCTCCAGCCCGGCTCAGCCAGGATTAGCCGGGAGGCAATCAAGGGGATGACAGGTCAGGCTAATACGCAGGGCCACCTGACCACTGGCTCCCCGGGAACAGGGCCACTGAGATGGGAGGGGGATGTGGAGAAGGAGAATTGTCACCCTGGAACATCAAGCCTACATGGGAATCACAGGGCGGAGTTGCAAAGGCAAGTCAAAAGCATCTCCCCTCCACAGCAGCGGGTTGTACCTTGAGCAGCAGGTTGTACCTGTCACCATGACGGGGACACAGTGGTAACCTAAGCAACTGCACCCTCTCCCAGCCAGGCTATATCAGCATAATTACTGCTCAAAGCCCCCTGAGAGAGGAGGATGCCCCATGAAAGAATGATTCTCTTCACCTGTAATGCTGCTTCGAGGCCTCTGTGCTCACGAAGCATTTACCCATTTCTGTGAGCTCCCCTGCTAACAGTCTGCCCTTGTGGATTTCCACGCTGCTCAGTGTCCCCAGACTCCATCCAGGCTCAGGCGGTGGGGGATGGTATGTGAGGGGTTGGTTGAGCCAGAGGTGAATGGCAGGGAAAGGGGATGGCACTGCGGGGACTTCAAGTTTAAAATAACGGAATCATTAAGGTTGGAAAAGCCCTCTAAGACCAGTAAGTGCAACCAATTAACCCTGCACTGCCAGGCATCCCACTAAACCAGGTCCCTAAGTCCAACATCTACACATTTTTTCAACACTTCCAGGGAAGGAGACTCTACCACTGCCCTGGGCAGCCTGTGAAAGGGCTGGACAACCCTTTCCATGAAGAAATTTGCCCTAATATCCAGCCTAAACATCCCTTGGTGCAACTTGAGGCTATTTCCTCTCACCCGGCCAGTTGTTATTTGGGAGCAGAGCCTGACTACCACCTGGCTCCATCCACCCTCCTGTCAGGGAGTTGGAGAGAGCAAGAAGGTCACGTCTGAGCCTCCTCTTCTCTGGGCTGAGCACCCCCAGCTCTCTCAGCCACTCCTGCAGACCCTTCAGCCACTTGTGCTCCAGACCCTTTCACAGCTCCATTGCCCTTCTCTGGACACACTCTTTAAGTGTTAGTCCTACCCAACAGATGTGGTCTCAAGATCTTCAGCCTCCAACTCACCCCATAAAGCACATCAGAGAAGCTGCCTCAAATAGTGGGACTGAATGCTATAAATGTGGTCATGAAGGGCCAGGCACTGGCAAGGGACACAAGAAACCAAAGAAAGAGGATTCTTCTGCTTGATAAAGCCAAAATGAAATTGCAGAGCTCACTGCCACATGCTGCCAAAAACAAACCATCTGGGGCTGAAAGTGTGGTAGACCAATTCCTGACTGGCTCAAGTCACAGGATCATAGAATCACAGACTCATTTGGGTTGGAAGGGACCTTAAAGATCACCTTGTTCCATTCCCTGCCATGGGCAGGGACACCTTTCACTAGACTACATTGCTCCAAGCCCCATCCAACCTGACCTTGAATGATTCCAGGGATGGAGCAGCCACAGCTTCTCTGGGCAACCTGTGCCAGGGCCTCATCACCCTCACAGGGAAGGATTTCTTCCTAATATCCCATCTATCCCTGCCCTCTGGCAGTGGGAAGCCATTCCCTGTGTCCTGTCCCTCCATCCCTTGTCCCCAGTCCCTCTCCAGCTCTCCTGGAGCCCCTTTAGGCCCTGCAAGGGGCTCTCAGGTCTCCCTGGACCATTCTCTTCTCCAGGTGAACACCCCCAGCTCTCCCAGCCTGGCTCCAGAGCAGAACTGCTTCAGCCCTTGGAGCATCTTTGTGGCCTCCTCTAGACTTGCTCCAGCAGCTCCATGTCCATCCTCTGTTGAGGACCCCAGAGCTGGATGCAATAGTGCAGGTGGGGTCTCACCTGAGTGGAGTAGAGGCAAAGACCCAGGCATGCTGTGCCCAATCCATGTCCACCCAGGGGTCCTGCCAGCACACGGGGAAAGACATGGGCAGGTCAACAGTCACAGCCCAGTATCTAAGGAGCAGGAGCTGCTGGAGAGCTCACATCTGCGTAGGCAAGCAGGGTGAGCAACCGAGAAGATACATGGGCAGTCTGGTGAAAGTAACTGTGACAGGGCAATGCAGCTGGGGGGTCACTAATGAGCCTGTGCCCCAGCCTGATTCTCATTCCTCATGGGAACAGGCAGTTTCGTAAGAAGAGATGGAAACTTTCTGTCCTGGTGTGAGAGATTGCAAGAGGTGGCAGAGAAGACAACCCAGCCTTGCCCAGCTCCAGGACAGGCTCGCCACCAGGAAGCATTTGCACTGGACTAGGAGTCCCAGGTTCAACACCATCCCACACCATTGCAGAGTGGAAATGTCCATCTTTTGTGGATCAAGCAGACACACAACAGTCCCTGTTCATTCCCTCCAGCTGTGTGCTGGAGCCTGCATATCCTGCCTACCTCCCCCCCAAGTCATTCCACCTGAGAAAAGCCTTGCAGTGAAGTCAGAGAGACAAACTAGAGATGTGATAGACACTGGTGACATTTCTACCCAGCCAAGATCTGAAAGACTGAAATAAATAACTGGTGAGCTGAACACAGATGGGAAGCCTCCAGAGAAGAGGTACTTGAAACTCCCGGCAAACCTGCAGAGTTGACCCAAGGTCTTGGAAGGAATCAGAAATTACCCAGATCCCAAAAACAGTATTGCTTTAATTCATAGGGGGTTAATCAAATTAAAAATATAAATCCTCTTGTTTTGGATTCGAGTTAAAACACTGACTGCTGGGGAAGGAGTCACCCCCAGGACAAAGCCCTGGAGGCTCTCCGAGAGGATCCTCACCCTCCCACTCTGTTGGGCTGTGGCTGGCCAGGTCCACTCCCGAGCTGGAGATATGGCTCTTCTTCATCAGGGGCAGGAACCAGAACAGCAGAGCACTTGCATGGTGGGCTGAGAAATGCAGCCTTGTCACTAGATGACAGGACAGACAAGTGACAGACGATGGACGGCTCCTCCAGCTACTTTTCCTCAAGCAGCAGCACCAATCCCATGATGTCATTAAGGAGAGACATCCATCCCAAGGCTGGCTGGAAGGCTGGCCACCAAGTCCAGGGCTGCAGCTGAGCTGTCCCAGCTCTCCAGGGACCCCTGCTCCACACCCTGGGGATGGACCAAGAGCTGCAGATGCTGGGATGGGACCAGTGAGCTCCAGAGCCCTCAGCATGGGCAGGGACTCGCCTGTGCTGGGGTGGGCTGGGCAGGACCAGCCTGGACCACACAATCACAGGCTGCACAGAGACCACCCGCTGTGACCCCATCTCCTGGCCCACCCAGATGCCCCCTGGAGTGGGTGAGCACAGGGAGAGCTGTGGCAAACACTGCAGTCATGCAAGGAGGGAGTGGATGTCAGGCTCTGTGGGGATGCACATCAGAACTCTGCTGGGAGTGGAGAGAATTTGGGAAGGAGCATCATGCATGAAAGCACAGGAGCACCCAAAGGCACTCATTCTGCTTACAGAGGTGAGGGATGTGCATGGGGCAGACCCACCTGGGGACCCTCAACCCAATGGCAGCATCTGGAGCCCCGCCACACCAATGCCCATTGCCACAGCCAAAACCCCACGGTCTCTGGGGGCTGCTTTACCAGTCCCATGGGAATTGCAATGGCAGAGCCCTAGCCCAGCAAGCACTGGGGCAGAGGTGCCATGGGAGGTCCTCCTGGGAAGGTCAGTGCACAGTGCCAGGCATGGGTTCATCCAGGTCTCAAAGGGAAATGGCTGCGCCATGGGTTTCCCACCAGGCCATGGAGCTGCTGTCCTGTCTCCACACAGCAAGTGCAGCATCAGGAGGACACAGCCACCAGCATATTAGGAGCCTTTCCCTGTTAGCCAAGACATGTCTCCGGTTCTAAAAGAAGGAAAAACAAGATGGGGTGTTTCTCAGCACGTGTAAGCAAATGCTCTTGGTGCTGTCTTGGTGCTAGTCCAGACACTGGTCATTGGTGCCCATCCCTGCACCCTGCTGTGCCCAGGCCCCTCCTCTGCCCTCATTCACATGTCCTCAATTCCACATAAAACGGAGCTAAAACTTTTCTTTTTTTACTTAAACCTAGCCCTTCTCGCATTCAGCTGAAAATTCATGGAAGCACAACAAGCCTCCAGCCAAGCAGGGTGCCAGCCAACAGGCAGCTGCCCATTTGCATCAGATCTGTGCCTGATGTGGCTCCTGGCACCCCCAGCCCTATCACCTAGCACAGCAGCATTGCCCCCCTGCGAGGGGGATGCAAAACACGGATGCCCACCATGTAAATCAGTGTCCCACATGAGAATTAGGGATATGGCCCAATCAGGTGGCTGGCTGTCCCTCCTGCCAGCCCCTCATGCCCAGCATACCCAGGACCCCAAATCGAACGTACTTGCCGTGACGGACAAACAGCCTAAAGTTGTGAAAGCAGCAGGAGACAGAGAGAGAAAAGACATTCAGGTTTAGGTGGTCTGGTTTCCTCCAGGCCCCCAAGCCCCACCACAGGGCCAGCAGCTTCCACCCACCACTGGGATGCCCATGAGATACCACCTCCCTCCCAGCGAGCAACCATTTCCCCATGTACTAGGGATGACGGCACAAGAAATCCTTCCCTGTGAGGGTGGGGAGGCTCTGGCACAGGTTACCCAGAGAAGCTGTAGCTGCCCCATCCCTGGAAGTGTTCCAGGCCAGGTCAGACAGGGCTTGGAGCAACGTGGCCTAGTGGAAGGTGTCCCTGCCCCTGGCAGGGAGTGGGATGGGATGGCCTTTAAGGTTCCTTCCAATCCAAACCTGTCTCCACTAGGTGGACCCATGACATTCTCCTCATCCCAGGGGTGCCCAGGGAGTTTGAGCTGGTTCAGACCTGCCTGGGGGCTGGGAGTGCTCCTCTCCCTGAGTTTTTGAAAAGATCTGCTTTTATTCCACATGTGGAAACACCCCTGGAACAGGGACCCACATCCCCTCAGCAGCTTTGGTTCCCACTCTAAAATCTCCCTCCCAGCTGTTACCACCTCCCTGGTATTAGCCTTCCAGCACCCACCCTCAGCACAAAGGGCTCTTTCCTCTGCAAGGTCTTAAAAACAAAGTGAATGAAAAAAATGCCCTCTGTCTATGAGCTCTGCTCCAAGGAACCGGAGGCTGAGACACCACAGGCCGGCATCCTGGTACCACCAGCTCTCTGGGCTGGGTTGTGCACAGAGGGTTGCACACAGGCTTTACACTCAGCCCCTCTCTGCAGATGCTCTTGACTGACTGGGTGCCCAGGGGCACCCCAGCATCAGGCAGTCCTTCCTTGGTGATGTGCCAGTGCCCAAAGGCAGTGAGTATCCCCTTCCCATCCAGTCCATGCAAGGATTTGGGGCCTGGTGTTTCAGTCAAACCCTATATGTGTGGAATGCCAGAGGAAGCTGGAGGAAGATGGGGGGCAGCACTAGGGGGATGGAGTAAGCAGAACAGGAAGGTTGATGCAAGGATATGCAGAGGGAGCAGCAGGAAAGAGCTGCCCTTGAGTGCTCAGCCCTGCCCTGCACTCCTTGGCTGTGCTTTGCTGCTGCCCTGGCGCTGCTGGTTCCCGCCGCATGTCTACTTACTCCACGTCGCGCTTCCGGATGGTCCTGCCAGCAGCCAGGACCTCAGCCACCTTGGAGACAATTGGGTCATAGTTCATGCTGGCCACAGCCACCACCTCATCGCTCCTAGGGCCGGGGCAGAGCAGAGTAGTTAGGGCACCCTGGATGGCCACAGCTCCATCACCCAAAATCCAGCATGCTGGAGAGAAGGGGGAAGCAAAGAGAAACACCCACTCCAGAGCCAGGCCCGATCCCAAGGTGTGAGCACCACAGGGACTGTGCTAGTGGCATGGGACAAAAGTCAGGAGAGGGCTCAGAGCTGACATGGCAGGCTGGCCCCAGTGGTCCCACCAATGCTCATGTGCTGGCATGGTGAGCATCATGAGGGTGCCTGGGGGACAGAGACAGCTCTGGCACCCTGGCATCTGTGGAAAAACACCACCAAAGGTGGATCTGATGGTGGATAAAAACCTGGACACCAGCAAGTGGTTGCTGCGATCCCTGGGCTGCTGCCTTGTGCTGAGGAAGTGGAGAAGCAGGTGGTCAGGATTTCCCTGTGGGACACTCGGTTGGAATGCTCCACATCCTCTTCCTGATCCCCACCTCCATGTGGGCTGAGTGCCCACCTCTGAGCCACTCCACAGGCACCAGGACAGGGGTGTCCAACACCAGGGTCCCATAGCCCCAGTGACGAAGCCCCCGTGTATATGGGATGTCCAGGCCGACTGACTGTTCCCCACCAGGATCACAACACAACCCCAAAGGTTGAGTGGGAAACCAATGAAGTGGACGGAAGAGAATGTAAAAATGCTGGAGGAGCTTGGGCTAAAAGTCACAGGCAAATGAGAAGGATTCTTCTACTTTGAGGTTTGCTGGGGTCAACCCAAGCATAAACCTTTAAAGACTGGCCACGAGACGATTCATGAAGAGATAACCGAATGGCCAAACAATGTGAGATCAGGGAAAGTGTGTGGGTAAGATATTAAACTCTGGTGATATTGTTGAGTAAACTGAAGCATAGAAGCACCCATTGAACCAATATCTGCACTTCAATCTCCTGCCAAAGAGCTCTGTGATCAACAGAGCAAAGGACAGTCAGGGTGGGGGGGATGTATGCCTAATTCCCAGGAAGAGGAGAGCAAAAGCCATGTTTCAGAGGACACTTTATCCCTGTGCAGCCACGGGAGTTAAAGCTACCTCTCGCAGCTGTCCACAAAACCACGGGGCAGTTCCATCACAGACTGTTTCTCAAGGCTCCTATTCCTAAATAAGTTCACTGCAAATAAAAGAGAGCACGTTTCCTGAGCGTAGCCAGCCCCCAGCTAGGAAACACAACAGTGGTTGGAGAGACCTATCCATCAAAACCAGGGGGAGATGTGCTGTTCCAAGGCAATGAATAACTAAGATGTGTAAGAGAAAGAGCCTTATTGTGAAAGCCAATGCTGAGGACGGGCTGCAGAAGTGGGAACCACCAGTAGTTCCTGCAACAGCCAAGGACAACCAGGAGAAGAATCCAAACCATGGGGTGGGCACAGGAGAAGAAAGCAGAAGAAAACAGTAGGTTTGGGACTGTCCTCAGTCAAAAAGCATTAGCAGAGGAAGAAATGCTCCAGTGGCCCCTCACAGAAGCACAAACAGGGACATTTGTGATGACAGCTGAGCAAAGCAGCGGGGGACACACTGGCCGACCCCTGCCAGATGGTGCTCCCCAGTACCTCCGGCTCTCAGCGTGGAATGCCATCCTGGTACCCAAAAGCCATCTCTGGGAGCACCTCCTGGGTAGCAGAACAACACAGCGTTCAGTGGGGGACCCCCACTGCTGCCCACTTGGCTCAGCTCCCCTGTGCGCCTGGGCAGACCCAGGCAGACCCCGCAGCCACTGCAGCACACAGAGAACAGGGCACAGAGCAAGAACTCTGCACCTCGCTCAGGGCATTCCCTCTGAAGAGGCCCCTCAGATGTTTAATTAAAGCAACCTGACCTTTCCTTTCTAATTAGGGTGGGGATAAAGAGCTAAATGCTCTGGTATGAAAAGGCTGCAGGAGGGGAACGTCTCCACAGCAGCTCTCCCTAGCACAGGGGGTGCCTTGGCACAAACACACCCCTTTATGCAATTTTGGCCAAGGTGCCAGCACACTCCGAGCTGTGTCCAATGTGCTAAGGGCCCCAGGTGCCAGCTGGAGCCCCATCCCCTGCAGCAGGTGTTTACCTGACATGTTCAGGCACCAGAAGGAGGAGGGTGAGCATTGGGGACCCATGGAGTGATACACTGAGCCCTGCCTCTCCAAGCCCGAGGGACACATCCAACTGCCAGGCTCCATTCTGGAGCAGTGTGGCACCCTCAGGAAGGGAAGGCATGAGAGACACTGGGGAGGGAACAGAGGGGCAGGGAGATGATCTCTGCAGAGCCACAACTGGCTCCCGTCCTGAGCTCCCTCCTGATGCCTGCCTGGGTGCTGCTGCCAAGTAGTTTGATGGCCAAGCTGGGCAGCCCTTTGCTTCCCTGTTTACCTCTCCCCATCCTTAATATCAGAAAGCACTTGGAAAAACCACTTTGGCTCCAGGCATGAGGAGGTTCTATGGCCGCTGTTTTCAGATTGGGATGGGACAAAAGGCAACTGAAGAATAAACAGGAGCAAATATTTTAGGGATAAATTCATGGTGCACCCAGTCTAAGCAGCTAACATGGCTCCAGAACAGATGAGAACACATCTCAGGAACGCATTCCCAGGTAGGGTCCAAGCCAAGGGGAGAGGTGGGCTTCACTACAGGTGTAACAAAGTTCCTGAGCTGTTGCAAATGTTCACAGTTTTTATAGACAGAAAAGGTTTTTTGAGCTCAGTCTGTCAAACCAGAATCAGAATTGGTGATGCCTGAGTGCCCAGTCCAGCCCTGGTCACAAACCATTAACATGGTGATGAGATGGGAAGGAAATCTTTGATAGGAATTGCCACTAGAAGCCATCATCTGCTCCCAGAGATTATGTGAACAGACAAAGGGCTTACATCTGGCAGAGACAGCAGGTCCACAGACCAATTAACTTGTTCTACAATCAGCGCATTGTTTCTCCAATGCCTTTTATTAGTGTCCCACAAAGCTGAGTGTCCAGAGATGAACAAAACTGACTGACAGAAACTCTGGTAAAACTGTTTTCCAGTCTAGCAGAGAAATCTCAGATGAATGCCTGTGTAGAAACATGGAGAAGAGAAACACTTACTTGGTATAAAATGCCACAAACTTCAGTTCATCTAAATCTCCCTGAATGACAACATCATCGAATCCTTCTGCATGGCCTGTAAAGCAGAGAAGAAGAAGTGGATTCAGCAACAGTTCTTCTGGATCCAGCTCTAAGACAGGATGTTTCACTCCAGAGCTACACGAAGAACGTCCTGCAGCGACCAAGAGACCAGCACAGGAAGATGTGGGTACCAAAAATCACACAATCACAGGACAGTTTGGGTTGGAAAGGGCCTTAAAGACCACCTTGTTCAAACCCCTTGCCACGGGCAGGAACACCTTTTGCTAGACCAGGTTGTTCCAAGCCCCATCCAACCCGTCCTGGAACACTTCCAGGGATGAGGCAATCTGTGCCAGGGTCTCAACACCCTCACAGGGAAGAATTTCTTCCCATTATCTAATCTAAATCAACTCTCCATCATGTTTAGAGAAGTGCACCTCATGGCAGACAGAGGAGACACCAAACCCCTCAGAAGCCAGGCAGGGAAGCAGACCCGCGGCACAGTCAGCGTGGAGGGTCCACAGCAAGGGATGTGGTTGTGGCTCCTCTAGCCCAGGACACCTCCACCAGCACAAATGTCACAGCAGCCTCAGATGCCCCTTACCTGCATACCGGATGCTCTTCCCAAACATAGCAGTCCAGAGATATGGGACGGTGCTGATTTCTGTGCCATGGGCCAGCATGTTGAGTGCAGCGATACGGCCTGGAAGACAGCAGCAGCAGAAGGACTGTGGAATTCCCACACCAGGGCAAGCATTGTGGTCTGCCTTGAGGTCACAGCACAGCATCAACATCCCCAGTCACGGGCATATAGAGAAACCAAGAACTGCTGCTGAGAAAACCCCACACAGCAATGAAGACCAAGCAGGAAGCACACAACATTGTCTGAGGATGGGCTTGGACTCCTTCCCATGGTGCAGCTCCTACTCATCACCTCCACTGGCATGAGCGATATGCCCATGAGACTCTTCTGCCCCAACTTCTAGAACAGTGACAGGGCTGAAAGCACACTGAGCTCCCACCCAGACAGGGAAGGGATGGACAAATCCCTGGAGGCACGGTGACTGTTGGGATACGGTCCCTGCTGCAGAGGCATGTCTGGACCAGGGGGCTATGTCCAAAGGTTGACTTTGGAGCTGTGGTTCCAAAACCTCTCACCCAGGGCACCCAACCTGAGGGAAACCTCCTTGAGGGCAGCTGATCACACTTGGGGTTTCAGGCTGACGTGAAGGGGAGAAAGATCCAAGCTCTGTGACATGCTCCTGGGCCAGCCTGGCAGTGTGGGCAGCCCAGCTGGAAACATGAGCCCGGGCTGACTTTAGAATGTGAGCTCCTAAGTGTCCCAGGCAAGGAGAAGAGCAGGCTCCTGCAGCAATGCAGATGCCAGGGACCAGAGGGCATATGGGAAAGCCTGTCCCTGGGCACCTCTGTGCTTGCAACGAGGCATTGGCACAAATGCTGACAGACTGGGCATATTGGGCAGGATAAAATATACATGCTTCAAAGTGTTCAATACAACCACCCAGTCTCCCTGTTGACAGTTATTTCATTCTCTCCTTAGAGGGTTTGGAAATTTCCCGGGAATCTGCAGAAGTCTCTTTTCTGCTCAGTACCTACCATGCATGTGGGCCATCTGCCAGTGGGGGACATTCACCTTCTTGTTATTCCTCAAGGCCAGTGGGAACATGACAGCATCTCCGGCAGCAAAAACCCCGGGGATGTTGGTCTGCATCATCTGCAGGGAACAGAGGTGTGCATTAGCGGGGTCTGCACCACACACAAACAGAAACAGAGAACTGCTCCAGAGCTGCCACATCCCCACGTGGGACTCCCACATGGGATTTCATTCAGCCTTCTTCACTGAAAACACACGGGCAGGGAACTACAGTATCCCTCTGCCAGTGGGTTATCCAGGAAAAAGAGACATGGACTGGGGTCCTGGAGCCCCTCTTAGAAGTCTGAGGTCTGTCAATGTTTGCAGACAGAGCCCAGCTTATCACATGATGAGCAATAAGCACAGGGTGGGTGCACGGAGCCCCAGCTCCCCGACAATCCTCTCTGCTCATGGCACGCACACCCATCAGCACCAGCACCGCTCCCACCGCGGGCACTGGTGGTGGGGAGAAAGGATGAGATCCTTTAGGATACTTGGAAAGAGGGATCTTCCTCAATCTTTCCCCATAAAATATCCACACCATTCCAGGGCAGCTCAGAACCAGACCCAAGCCAGAGCATTCAGGGCTGGGGTTTGCAAATCCCACACTTGCAGGGGTGGTCCCAGGTGCTCCTGGTAATGCTCCCAGAATCTCAGCATCTCAGAGAATATCCTGAAATGAAAGGCACCCCCAAAGATCATCGAGTCCAACTCCTGGCCCTGCACAGGCCAACACCTAGAATTCCAAAATTCCAATTCTGCCAATCTTGACAGATAAAAAGCCATTAAAAGCACCTGTGGCAGCAACTTGGAGCCTCCACAAAGCTCTTCTGTGAGGAGAGCTGACCCAGCTCCTCCTGCTCTCCATCCCACAGGGGCTGCCCCTGGGCTCACCTTGTTGACCACAATGAAGCCCTTGGAGTCGATATTGATGCCACTCTGCTTGAGGAAGCCCGTCGCTGGAACTGCACCTGTGGGAAAAGGCAAAGGCTGCTGCTGCAGTGTCTGGGTGTCCCAGCCCCTGGGGGGCTGACCCCAAGATCAGCAGAGCCTCTCATGCCAGGACAGTCAGTCTGCCCACGGGAAAGCAACAGCTGCCCTGGGAGTAGGGCAAGGCACCCTACAGAGACCCCACTGCATCAGCCTCTGCCTCCCAGGATCCCTATGCTTCTCTAAGCCATCAGAGTAATCTGCCCACCACCCTTTTCTAGTGCTTGGAAGTAATTTTCAATGTTTCAATTGCCTTTATTTTGAAAAAAAAATTATATTTAAAGGGAACCTTTGAGATTCTAGACAGGGCTCCTTGGCCTCCCCTCAGTCTGTACCTTTCCTTCACCCTTCCTTTTCCTTTTTTAATCTTTTTTTTCCCTCCAGACTTCAAAAATCAGAGTAGTAAAAAAAAAACCCAGAATGAAACTAATTCTATGATTCCTCCAGTCCCCAGCATTTTTTAAAAGTTACAGAGATGGAGGGAAAGGGACTTTTTCTCCCCTCAAATGTAAAGGAGAAAAATACCCTCTTCTATGGAGTTTTTTTTTTTTTTTTTAATAGTAACAGGGTATTCTTTTATTTTATAATACAGGGTACATTTTTTGTTGCTGGCAGCAGCAATTAAAAAAAATAGTTGAAAAAATTGAGTTTGGGGAAGCTTCAATAAAAAAACAACTTCAGGGGATGAAATTGCATTGAATGTTTGGTTTTTTTTCTGGAAAAGTAAAACACATTACTATTTCCCAAATATATTTTGGGGTGGAGGCTCTAGAAAGGCATTTTTTAGTTACTCAGACTCATTTGTGGCAGCCAAGCAGGGCTGGCCTATCACTGCCTGGCTACCCAACCCCAAGGAGTCCTTGCTGCCACATCCCCTCCAGCTTCTCCTGCACCGAACAGAGCCCCCCAGCCCCCAGCCGAGCACCACACAACCCCTTACCAACACCAACAACACACACGTCAGCACGCAGGACCTTCCCACTCTTCAGCACAACCTCCTTGAGCTGCAGAAGACATGAGGTGGGGGGGGCATCACAGTTATTTTAGGGCCAAAAACCCCTCAGTAGCAGCAGGAAGCCAAGCTGGCAGCTCGCCTCCTTTGTGACATGCAAGCTGACCATAATTCCTTAGAAAAGCAACAGGAGGAGGGTGGGAGCAGTGAAACCACCTCACACACCACATGGGTGCACTTTTGCTCCTGGGGGATAAATCCAGGAACATGAATTTCAGGGACAAGGAAAGAGGGGAGAGCAAAGCCCCAGCAGGGAATAGAATGGCAGCCCCGAGGGATGCCACAGCAGTGCCACCGGGGAGCCCCTGCTCACACCCTACCTTCCCCTCCTGCTCCCGCAGCTCTGACACTTCTGTCTGCATGTAGAACTTCACCCTGTTGCTCTCGAACATCTGGAGGGGGGACAAGGGACAGAGCAGGGGACATCAGGACCCTGAACCACCCACGGTCCTGGTGTCCCTGTGTCCCAGCACTGCCCTGCCCATCCCCTGGGCCCCCCTTGACCCACGCTGCAAAGGAGGTCGGCACCCCTGCCCCTCCCGCACGAGTCCAGAAGAAGGTGATCTACAGCACATGGACCATGACAGGGATGACACAGCCCGCTCTTCGACTGACCGCTGCCATCACAGCTTTGTCAATAAACATCAAGTAAATCAATTAGTGCAATAAGTGATACAAGCAGAACCCACTCTGTTATCAACCCTCCCCTCCAGATGGAAAAGAGAGGTCACCTTCATGACAGCACGGCCAACCCTCTCCCCAAAGAACTTCTTGAAGGGAACTTCCTCCAGCTCCACCAGGGACACCGAGTGGGCCCTCTCCGCAAGGTAGGCGGCCACCTCCATCCCTGGGGAATGGAAGCAGGTCTGAGTGGCTGTGGGAACTGCCCTGGCACTGTTCTGCATCCCTGGAACTGGCTGGAGCAGAGGAGCTGCCTCACCGACTCTGACTGGGGAGGCTGGAGCTGTGCTACTGGGAGAACTGGGGAGGCACTAGACCTGGTCACACAAGGGGCCAAACCAATTCAGGTATTCTTCAATGCAGATTTTGAAGATCAAAGGGAGGAACTGGTCATGATGAAGCCGCCCTGGTGTAGTGGTTTCTGTGGCTAGGTTTAGTAGCAGGGGGGCTACAGGGGTGGCTTCTGTTGGAAGCTTCCAGAAGCTTCCCCTGCCCCGTGGAGCCAATGCCAGCTGCTCCAGGACGGACTTGCTGCCGCTGGCCAAGGCCGAGCCCATCGGGAACAACAGCAACACCTCTGGGATAACAGATTTAGGGACAGAAGGAATTACTGCCAGGGAAGAGTGGAGTGGGAACATGGGAACAACAATGCAGACACCAAGGTCAGTGCAGAAGGAGGAGGTGGAGGTGCTCCAAGTGCTGGAGCTGAGGCCCCGCAGCCCGTGGTGCAGAGCAGGGTGGGGCAGCTGTGCCCCTGCAGCCCCTGGGGGAGCATCGGGGTGCAGAGACCCCCCTGCAGCCCCTGGGGG